TAGAATCACTTTTATGCAAGGGCTTCTCACTTTCTACAATTCTACTCCATGGACCATGGTAGTCAAGAAGCCTACTGTTACTTTTTCAATGCTAAACCCGGAAAAAGAAATGGAAAAGAAAATTAAAAATCATATTCATGGCTGAGGCTGTTGGTATCTTATAGAATAATATCAGAATGGTCGGTGTTTACTGCTGTTGGCTCAATCCAACCTCAGTCAAGTGGTGGCAACAAGGCTGAAATTTCAAACGAAAATGAGCTCTTCCAACGAGGTCAAAACCCAATATCTTAGTCACAAAATTTACTCCAAAAATTGTCAGTGGCCGACAACATTTTCCACCTTTCACATGCAGACAAAAACTCTTCTTATATGTACTTCTAATCTTTGCTTTCTACTCTTCCACTCACCTATTTGATTTCGCCAGTGTATTTAAATATAAATATATACAAAAGCATATTATTCATGTATTCATATAAATACACACCTTCATATGCATGTCAATCAATGTGGACATAAAATATTAGAAATCTGACTTCTTTTTTTAATTTATAGTGAACTACTGAAATTAACATTATCTTCATAAAACAAACAGGCCTAAGCATTAATGCAAGGACTCTACATTGCAAAATTCATATTTGTTACTTTTACTTTCTTATGGATAAAATGCAAACCATCTCTGCTTCCAAATTTCCTCACCAATCACCCTAAAGAGACGATTAAGAATCAGAGACATAAGATAATCTCAATTTGGGTTTTGGTTGGAAAATGCAGAGATGGTAAGCAATTTAACTTGTGCATCATACAAAAGAACGGCAATATTATTTCAAAGACAATTTATAGTTCAGGAGAGGGAAAAAAGAGAGGGAATTTAGTGAGGAATGCTGAGAAAGTCTGAAGGAGCGTGCCTCAGCCTTTCCAGAAGCTGGTCCTGCTGAGTTCTGCTCTTCTTGGACAGAGGCTCAGGTGAGGAAGACACAGATGATGCCACAGCCCATGAATCGTTTGAGCTATCAGAACTAAACGACACATCCATTACGCCATTTGGGCTTCCTGGAATGGAGCTAAACCTGCGCTTGTTTGATTGGTTGCCTTCAACTCTTGTTGTTGCCAATTCTATTATCAACTTGCTACATTCATCAACATTGCCCTGTTCGAAAGATGAATCGAGATTTAAGAACCAGGATGAAATTTGCGCATTTAACATTGGAAAAAGCTAGAGAAATAGAATACCTTATCAATTCCCAGGATGCCTAATAGCTTGTTTTGGTATTCCACTTGAAGATTAGGTTCTACACTATTCACAACGTGCAGCATTGTAGCAGTGGCCATCACAGAAGGAAGGTAGCACATAAACCTAGAATCTGCCAATAAATTTAACAGGAATTAAGAAAAAGATTAGAATTTGAGAAAAACAGAAACAACAATAGAATTGATCTTATTTCTTCTATACAATAAAGGAAATGAGGTTTTTGTTTTGGTGCTAACCTGAAATGACACAGAGCAGAATATGGTCACATCTCCTAAGAAATTCCCAACAAAGATGGTCCTTCAATCCAAGCCTCCTTGCAATGTAATCAACAAATGAAAGTGGGGTTACAGGGTTCATCTTCCATTGAAGGGTGGAGAGTACCACAATCTCCATTCTTTGGATAGTTTTGGCCTCAAACACATATCTGCTCTCCTCCACCTAAACAGATCAACCAAAACACAACATTCATAAGCCGAATCAAATGGCAAGTAAATAAAACTACAGCAAACTTAGCTAAAAAGAAACATACTTGTAAGTCCAGTAGGAGAGGCACTTGGGTCTCCTCCACTTTAGCTGCAAGAGAAAGACAAGCTACAGCTGCTAGTTGAGTCATCCATGGCTTCTCACTTTGGAACCGGAAGCTAAACAAGAATCTATCAAGATAGTTGAATGCAAGAACGGCAGTGAGAGCAGAGAAGGAATAGTGAGCGTTGACTCTCAACATCCATTCCACAGCTTCAAGGCGAGCCCCAGCTAGATTCCCGTTGGTTTGAAGGCTATCATACAGTTGATTTTGCTCTTCCTTTGAAAGTAGAGAGGAAAGTTCATCGTCTTCCCAGAATAAGTCTTGTTCTAACAAGATTGGAAAAGGGTTTGATTTATTGACCCCATTATAGAAACAACTTGCCTCTTCAACTTCTACAAAATAGTCTTCTCTGGCTTCTTCCTCCCATTTCTCTTCCGAACAATAAAGAGCATCGAAAATAAATGAACAGTTTTGATTATTCAAAGCCATTTTTCTCCACCAAAGAATAGTTTTTCAGAACTTGGTTTCATTGAAGAACGAAGAAGAAGATGAAGAAAAAGAGAACAAAAGACTCAGCTTGAGGCATCTCTCCAATGGAGTAGAGGAGAGGGGGAAGTGACCAGTAGTGTTTCTTTTGCGGTTTGCTCAGCAAACAATGGTTAAGGTTTTTTTAATTATTTTTTTGCTTGGTTTTATAATTAGGGAAGTCTCGTCTATCTATCTAGACCTGAATCATGGGCCATGCAACACAGTTACTTGACACGTGACATTCTGTACCTTGTACTCTTGAACCATCAAAGCAACTCGACCCCTTCCCCTTCCAATGGGTTTTCTTTTTTTTTTTTTTCTTTCTGAAATAATCATCCACATATGCATCAGAATTTGTATTGTGCAATGCCTTTGTATAGTGGTATGAATGGGCCTTTTTTTTTTCTCTCTTAATAGTTAGATAAGAGATTCGAATTCAGATTCCATCAACTACTGAGTCCATGTTCAAATGTATCTCAAAAAAACTCTTTTTGATAACTTATTTTTGTTTTTTGACATTATGTTTGAGAGCAAGAAAGGGCTTAAGGAAGGCATTTACAAAGGGACACATGAAAATAATCTTTGATGCAGTGACCCAAACCCAAAGACAGAAAGCAAAAGAGCTGATGAGAGCTTTTTCCAACTCAAAAACAAGTAATCTAATCAATAAAAGCATAATAATTAAATGAAGGTTTCTTAAAAATAGTACTTGTAATAAAATCTTTATGATGAGCTGTATTTCATTTTGTGTTTTGGAACTCTCACTGGTTGGATCTCGATACAAGATATAATAAGTTAGAACATTCACATGGGATATTAGCAATCAGGATTCAGGAATAGTCCCTGAAAAAAGCTTGTCAAATTCATAAAAATTCACAACTGGGGGAGAAACAATTTCTACCAGAACAATAAATAAACTCCCTATTCGAAGGTTGAATGAGGGGTTCCAGGCCAAGATCCACTTACAATAATTTTTACACTTTCCCTCAATCCTCATGCACTTCCTTTCTTCATCCTCACATACCTTAGTTAATTTGAATTTAACACAAAATTTCACATTAGTTTACAGTAATAAATAATACTAAGTGAGACAGTACTACAAAAAGGCCTAAATCATTGCTTCATCACTAACCCTGCAGCCACATTTCAATGCTTCAAATAACTAGCAGTTGGATTCCTGTTGTGGATCCAAAATACATTTAATTTCCACATTTCCAGAGTCCTGCATGTGAATGTAGATTTGATTTCATATCATCATTTTGAACAAGGAAAATAGTCATGAAAAAACTGTCAAAATTACTCAATGTGCCAAGATTCTACTTGGATTGGGATTTGAGAATGTGCCACTGTTTTTTCTCTTTGTCACTCTTTTCATCCATTTTATTGTTTTTCCTTTGTTATCTAAAATTACTAGTGAAATTCTGGTGACAGACAACCTTACCAGCTTTTACTATTACTCTGTTGTTGTTAAAGTTGGATACAACCCATATTTCTCTTTGGTCCTCCATTTTATCAAATGGAAGAAAAGCACATGTACAAGTATGTTTTTACATGTAAAAATCTACTCAATGTCCCAAACACAACACGCAAAATTTAAACGAATGAGGGAGTTGTCACTCTCTCTTTCCAAAAATTTCAACGCACTTTATGCTCTGTGTTCCAATACATGAATCGCATCGTTTTACAAATTGGTAGAAGAGTCTCACAGGAAAGCAACAAAAGGCATTGCATGCCTCTGGACTCTAATCTGGTACTGGCACACTTCTTTTGGAGCAGGAATTCAATTCCAATGTCCAAAAGCACATTAGGACGTCAAATAATATCGTATTTTTTATTTGTTCTTTTGCATTTATTCTTTTTTGGTATTTAAAGAAACAATCCTAAGGATCACATGAAAGAAATGGAAATGAAAAAACAGTTCCCAATGTAATTTACTGCTCTAGCAGGACAATTCTATCCCTTTTTTTTTGAACGAAAAGTGGTGTTATAGTTGCAATACTCTTATATAATGTAATAACGGAGGTTGAGACTTGGCAGAGAGTGACCCCGTTGGGTTTTGTCTTCAAAGATTCTCAAAAATCCTTCCCTTCCAGCTATGCCAAATAGAAGAGGGTAAATGAAAATGTCAGTACGCCAGTTCCTAATTCTATTAAACTGTGGGAATCGATTGCTTTAGGTGTTTGTTTAACTTGGAGACGAGTGTAGGGTTTCGGTTCCCACCCTGACACGTTGCTTTCTTTCTTTGCTTTTCTTTTAGTCCTCCTGCCACTTCCTTTCCTTCTTTACAGGCTCGATCCCCTAGAAATGATGCAGCTGAGAGGACATTAAAAAATATATAAAGTGCGGGTCGGGGTGGGTTAGTGCAAGCAGGTGAGAGTGAGACAGAAATCAATGGATGATAGGGAAAAGAGATGGTGGATATAGACATATAGTGGTGGTTGTGTTGGTCTCCAGCCCACCCCAGAAAAGTACACATATAACTGAAACCTTGAAACTGAGCAAATGGTGGTGTAGCCAATATAGTCACCACTTTTATGTTATGTTATACGTTGTAGTAATGGTAATATTGTATCCTACTCACAGCAATCATGTCGAATTTGTTTTCTCCTTTTTTTTTCTTATTTCGTGTCAGGTTTCCTGAAAACAAAAACATATGCTTCAATGTTCAATCTTAATTGTTCATTTTCACCGGCGTGGTCAAAGTCAGACAAGCCCATACCAATATCAGAAATCAAAAAGTATGGCTCGCTTTTTCCTATGTTCCAAATCATACACAATAGTAAGCAAAGCCTACCCTTTATTGGGACTCATGAACCCATTAGCTTGCACCCTTGACCCCATGCATCACTAGACTCAACTGTAATGTGTAAGGCCAGCTGATGGGACCAGAGGATCACAAGATTGATGGCTCTTAACAGAAAGAATGTTTTCCATCATCTTCCTTGAGTGTGCAGCAAATTATTGTGCTCCATCTGTACCGTGAAACCCCCATAATGGGGCAGCAAGAAGAAAGGGTCCACATGGATTTTCTTCATCCAGCTGTGTAGTGGACCTCCCTGTTCTCTCGGGTCAACCCATTGGCCAGAAGATGGTCTGAGTCTAATCATCATGCCTTGTCCCGTGATTATCATGCTTTCGTCCGACGATCATGATTCACGGGATAGCTAGCACAAGCATTTGATTATTGATTGATGCTAATTTCCAACTCCGAAGTCCAAAGAGGTGGAAACGGTTTTTTTGTTGCAAGCATTGTCCTCCATTGCCCAAGATCGGCAGCTCCTCAATTGGATCATCACTCTCCATTTTTTAGAATTGCTAATGACAACAACAAACCTTGTTCCCAGTCAACCAAGTTACAATCAAGCATATGAAGTCCTACAAAGAAGTATTCATAGTAGTGTTTGATTTGATCATGCTACTTGCATTGATCAATCCACATTACAAATCCAGCAGTAAACAATGTTCTCAAGTAACAATCTGCAAAAAACACAAAACCAAGGCATATCGCACGCCAAAGACATAGCAATAGCATACAGCCCTTTTTACTTTGCTTATTATCGGGGCAAATGGCAATTACCTACAGCTCTCAATCATTGCAAACTCTGTTTACATCGACGGTTTATTTCTAAGATCCTTCAAAAGCTATGGCACATGCTATTCTTGACTAGAGGGATTTCATATTCTTGTTTCAACAATGCGTGATTTGGCCACTCCAAAGTCAAGTCTATTTGTCTTCTAAAACAACCCACATTCATGCAAACAAATATTCAGAGTCCGCCAACGGAGTTATCTACCGTATTGACTAATAATATTAACAACTGGACAAGCAGACCCTTTGAGCTTGACTGATTTGACTGGCATAAGTCCAGTTTCAGGCCTTCAACCACTAAAGATTGGTGGTTCTGGCATCATCACCAGTAAGAAGAAGTTCAAAATTTTAAATTACTACTATTAAATGAATACCCTTTGTTACCATCTGATGTAACCCATCAAAGAAAACAATCACTAGATCATAACAAATTTACCATTCTTCAACCTCCAAATACGGAGAAGTGGGTACTAGTTGATGCATTCTCACCAGCGTAAAACCTGGCAGGACAATTGAAGCAATTCCTTGATAGGCTATGATTAATAACGTATGTTGACTGCGATTATGGCATTTTGAATATCAGCTATAACAGTGGGTACAAGTGTGTAATTCTCATGCATGTTCACACTCCATGTACTCTAGGTGTTTAAAACTAAGATACCAGAAAGTTCTCGGAGAGAAATTAAACCATTCTGTTGTCTAACAAACCCTTGAGACAAGTTCCCTACTTTCAATAAAGTGCTTTGAAAATCCTAGTAACTTTATATAAAAGCCCGGACCTAAGGATCTCAAGAAAAGCTTTCCACAACATAAACAAACATACAAAAAGCCAACCGCCAAGAAGATTAATGCAAGTCAACAAAGTGAGGTTCAATTCAATCATTTTCTTCGTCCTCATTTATAACAAACATGAAGTGCCAGTCAAGAATCATCTGCTACATTGACAATTATAGAACAAGGCTATATAGGTCACTGACACAAATTGACAATCTCCCTACCAAAACGAAATATTTAAACATCTCCAGTAAAACTAAAATCATAGTTGAACATAGATAGTAACATTAAGTTTTCACATTTTACACGCTACCACATTTAAAATGTTCTCCCATAAATCTTTCTACATAGGATGGGTGCTTATCTCGAACGTATGCTCGAAGACAACTTTTGGTATGAAAAATCCATCATCCACCATTAGTTCTAACAACAAAGAGACACCTTGAGTGTCTTAATTGAGGATGTCGATCAACCTTCAAAGGAGATTAAGCACATAATTAGTTTGTTCTAAAAAGCAAATACAAATTTATGCCAAAGACATCTATAGAATATATAATGATCTACATATGGAAGGTAACACTGTGCTAGCTCAGATGCATCCAACCACAATAGCTACTAAACAGTGAAACTGCATTCACTTTCATCAGTAAGAAAAGCCAAATTAGCAGGCATATTAAAAAAAGGAAAAAAGCAGATTCTATGTCACAACTAGTGATGGCAACAGGTCGGGTCGGGGCGGGTTTTTGCTCGCTCCGAACCCGACCCGACTTTAAACATATAAAACTCGTACTCGTACCCATATCCAACCCGTCAAATTTTTTTTATTTTTTAATACCCGAACCCAACGCCTACCCCGACCCGACATTGTATAAAATCAAATCCGACCCAATCCGACTCGAAATTAATAAAATATTATTTTAAATATAAATATAAAATTAAATATATATAAAAATATATAAAATTAAATATAAAATTAAATAATTAATTAAAAAAATAATTTTTTTATCGATCCGAACCCGAAATTTTTTTATGCTACCCGACCTGATACCCGATTTTCAAAAAAAAAAAAAAAACGACCCTAAGGTGTCGGGTTGGGTCGAAACCCATCGGTTTCGGGTATTTTTGCCTTCCCTAGTCACAACGGAAATAATGGCATCATCAGTCCAAAAGTACCATCTGTTAATATATGTGCCAACAATTGCATACAAACACAAACAGAGACATACATACATGCACCTTTAGGAAGAAATTAACACCACAAGAACCAAGAAAAGAGGAAATTGAAATTTTGTGAAATGAAAATTTAGATGAGCAAAATTCCAAATCTTGAGATAAAGAATTAGACTAAGTAAATAATATAAAGTGTTAAGAAAAAATTCAGAACAAGCACACAAAGATGATTCAACTGAGACCAAAGGACACCCATTCAAGCTGAAAAGATTTGGGGTGTTAGTCAAATTTCTAAGAGCAGGAAAAGCTTGAGCAACCTAATTTGTATGGTGTTAGTCAAATGGGTATTTTTTAGACAGGTGAGTGAGACGAGCAACCTAACTAGTATGTGTTACTAAAGCCACTCAAAAGGCTACCTAGATTAGCCCAGCCTTAACAAAGGCTGCTGATTCAACTGAGACCAAAGGACACCCATTCAAGCTGAAAAGATTGGGGTGTTAGTCAAATTTCTAAGAGCAGGAAAAGCTTGAGCAACCGAATTTGTGTGGTGTTAGTCAAATGGGTATTTTTTAGACGGGTCAGTGTGACAAGAGCAACCTAACTAGTATATGTTACTAAAGCCACTCAAAAAGCTACCTAGATTAGCCCAGCCTTATTGAGCCCATTTTAAAGGACCATATCTGTAGGTTATAATTAGAAATAGAAAGATTTTTTTCACTATTCTGAAATTGCGTCATTAGGTAAAATTGAGAAAGAAGCATGTAATGTAATTAAACAGACAGAAATGGTGCATTATATAAATAAAGGCAGAGTGTTACTATGTGAAAAAAAAAATTCAGTCCTCTGCTTCTTAGTCTAGTGGCTAAAGAGATTTTATGAAGACATAGAGGTCTTGGTTTAGAGCCAAGATCTCCTTCCCTTTTCCCCTTATAAAAGCTATACCCTCCCCTGAACCAAAAAAATATATAAAGAAAAAAATCACATCCCAAAACCAAGTATTTACCTCAAGAATGCTGGCAAGCTTCTCTGCATTGGAAGAACAATAAACAAAACCACCATTGCATATGCTTCTATAAATGTGCATAATTTTTGAGACATTATTTCTTTAGTTTTAGCTATAACATTTTTTAACAAGAAATATATCTTTTCCAGATTTGGTCAGGTAAAATTCATTCTACTTAGCATGTAACATTGTAACTAGAAACTCTAATCAGGATCCTAAGGTCTATGATCATCTAGGCATAAACAAATATTTGTACAACCGTACTTAAACTCTCCACAAGTTGCCACCTTTCTTTGCGGACAACCAAAAGAAGCAAAAAAATCTGTTGGACTTCTTGCTTGGGGCTGAGTTATGTATTAAGCAGTCACAAGATAAATGCCAAAGGAAAGAATGCCATGTTGCCATGCATGCAAAAGTGTGAGAATAATACATGATGCATGCATTCACCACTCAACTGAGCAAGAAGGCCAAAAAGACATATTTCTTAAACAAAATGCGAGGGAACTGGAAATCATATCAGTAGGAAGCAAGGGGTAAAACATAACAAATTCATAGCAAATGAAACTCAGGCCCAAAACACAGTGTAAAAGTTTTTATCACAAAAGATTAAACAATTTCTAACAGTAATTGGAGAAAAAAAAAAAAAAGCAACAGCACCGCAACTATGCAATCTTGATCATGCAAAAGTACAAACGTGAGTTTTCATTCCTCTCATATCAGCAACGGACTTATACTTTCAAAATTCCATGCTAACAAAAACCATTAAACTTAAAACATAATACATTCTCTTCTCTAGACCAATACTGTGGAGACCCGCACCCAACTTACGAGATATTGTTCGCTTTAACTCGAAGGTCTCACAATTTGATCCCATAAAAAAGTGCCTCACAAGTTTGGATTCAAGTCTCAACTTATATATCATGGTAGATCCTTGGAACATCCCAATGTGGAATTAGGATGTCACAAATACATGAAATCCTAAAGTAATAAACAGAGACAATAAACTTAATCAACAATTTGCCTTGTTAAAAAAAAAAGCAACATAACAAAGATAATTTCAATTATCACGATCAAGAATCTGATAATACGAATATGTCATGACGTGACATTTGTTAGAAATTCAAGTTAACACTGGCAAGGATATGGGACTACACAACACTTTTAGGACTTTAGAAATTCAAGTAGCTTTTATTACTTGCTACTTTGTTTGAGCTAAAATGCAACACTAATTCAAACATTGTTCCGCATTGAAATGGAATCATATTAGAAAATATTCAAATGTTTGATCTAATTATAAAAAATATTACTATGTAAATAAATAGTAAAAGGACTAGAGCTAACAAACTGACATTTCGGAGTGAAGAATCTCTTTAGTGAGCGACATGATAGGCTCGATGCGTCGAAGAATCTCTTCCTCCTTATCCTTCCATCTCCTGTAATCAGGATCATCCCACCTAAGGTACTTCGGTGGGTCCCTCACGCTCAGCACCGCACTACTCTTCTCAGCAGAGGATACCTCCTCTTTGTGGCCAGCCGACTCTGCGAGGAAGCAACAAGGACGCCGCGCAGCCCATAGGAGTCCGTCGGCGATACGCTTGTACAGTAGCGGCGAAGGCGGATGGAAACCGAATTTGGTGATTTCATAACCATTTGTCCGGATTTTTATATTTTATTTCTGAGAATGATTTTGGGGAAAAAAGAAGAGAAAAGAGATTAATATGACCCGGATTGTCGTTTTATTGGAAGGAAGCGAGTGGAAGCGGCGCCGTTTTAAAGATCTGGGCCAGATGCTACCGACTTAACAGTGTGCTGATGACGGAGGAGTGGCAGCGGGCAGGCTTGATTTTCACCTGTTCGAATTTTTTTTTATTTCGGACTTTTGATTGTTGGGCTGGGCCATGGATCCGCTTTAGCTTGGTCATGGTCCCTTCCTAATTGCCGAATGAACAAAAATGGAAATCTAGTAATCTATCAATCTATTCTATAATTATTCATATTCAGCTATTGATAAAAGAATATAATATTTGTACTTCGACAAATTTAAACAAGTAATATTACATGCTTTTGAAGATTCTTTAAATTTTATCAAATTATAAATAAATTTTTTTACAAGCAGTTGAATTAAGATCATTCATTATTGAAATTAAAATTTTAATATTTTATTAATAGATGTAAAATTAATTAATTTATTTATTTATATACAAAAATTATCCCATTACAAACATAAATTAGTATAAAATATCTATCCGTTTTACATGAATAAAGGAATTGTAATAAAAAAATGGAAATATTATGTTACAAGACATTACGAGGCATCATTGTCATCAATAATTCAAGTATTAATGAGCTATTATTAGAAGGGAAGAACATGCATATGTTTCGTGTATTCAACCACATCTAAAGCTCTGTAGAAACTAACGTTATTCAAGCTTGTGTTTGATCGGATTAAACGACAATTTTTATTTTTTTTGGCCAAAAGAAATTCTTAATCTTTAATGTGAACAATTCAATGTCAAATTGTCAACAAACTCATCGGGAATAATTAATTAATTTATAATTTAATTCATAAAATATAAAAGATGCCGTAATTTATGAATAAAAAATAATTTTAAATATTTAATTTATTAAATTTCATATTTTAAAAATTATTATATAAATTAATTAAATTAAATTTTGAATTCTTCAATTAGTGAAGTAAATGCAATGAAAAGGTTTTCATCTGGAGGCCAAATCCCATTGGTGCGTTGGAAAGTCTTCCCATCTTATCGGCACTTAATTGATACAAATTGTTTATAATTACAATAAGTTTTTCTTTGGAAGAATAATCATAGAAAGTTGAATCTCGTGTTAACGAAAAAATACCAAGTCATATGCCTGCATTTTTGAATTGTAAAACCAATCCATTTGTTGATTAAAAATAAGATGAACGGACCGAGTGATGTTTCCAACCATAATGTTCATATGACTATTTAAATAATTGAAACATTGCATGTTGACTGTTTCTTGAATTAATTGTAATGTGATTGAAGTTAATGTTTAGAAATTATCAATTCAAGAAAATTTATGAATATATTATTATTTTTAATTAGATAAATAGTAGAATAAAATATTTTAAAATATATTTGAAAATAGAAAAAGACATTAACATTTTTTTTTTTTGAGAAATTGGATATCTTTCTAGTTGATATCACTAAACTACCTAATACAATGACCCATTTTTTATAACAATAAAATATTTTAAATTATCATCATTTATTGATTTCGAATAATAAAAAATTAAATTTTCTTTTAAAATATCTTAATTTTAAATATTATGAATGAAAAAAAATTAAAAAATTTTATTTTTTATAAAATTTGATTCGATTTGATTTTAAATTAATCAAAATTTAAAATAATTATTAAATATAAAAAATATCAAACTAAAAAAAATATTTTGGATTGTGTAAATACCTGCACCATGGGTAAGATTCAAGCACTGAACCTCATTTTAAGTAAATATTGTAATTTAAAAAACAAGATAAAAAAAATAAAATTTATTTTAAATTTTAATAAAAAATTATATATAAATTTATCAAAAAAAAAAATCCAAATCTTAGAATGTGCATATAAACTTATAATTCAGGAATTCATTAATTTCACATCACAAACAATTATAAACCTTCACTGACACTCATCAGATGACACACAGAGACATGTGCAAAAGGCCGGACAGAAAAACTGGAGTACTAAAGATCCCCTGTACCCAATTTCACTTCCCCCGGTTTAGGGATCACCTTAATATGATTTTTTTCAGTTTGAATTTGACTCCATCAGAGCGAATCAGGGGTGGGCTCATGAAAAGCATTATGATAGTAGCAACGGCGGATAAAAACTTTCAAAGTGGAGAAACACTATTTTGTTCAAAAAAGAGAGGCGAAAGCAAACAAAGTTTGAGAAAAGCCAAATGAAATCCAATTTTGAAGTCCGTCGCTCTGCAAATTTCCAAGAAGAGAAAAAAACAGAAGAAGAGCCTGAAAAAATGCTCCTGGGTTAAACCGATTTGCCCACGATAATAACTCAAGTGGCTTTTTTTTTTATTTTTAGGTTTAGTTAGTTGTCGTGGATGGGCCAATTAATTTCGACGGCTAAACTTACGAGCCGTCGAGATTGTAACCATAGCCAACGGTCGAAATCGAAATCAACGGCTCTGATCTGTCCGATGCAAGCTGAGGAAGCGGAAGAGCTTGACCGAAGTAGCATATATGGATTATCGGATTTCATTTCGGATCTACCCGACGAGTGTTTAGCTTGCATTTTTCAGTCTCTTTGTCCCAGTGACCGAAAACGTTGTTCTCTCGTTTGCCGGCGGTGGTTGAGGATTGAAGGACAGAGCCGTCACCGACTCTCCCTCAATGCCCAATCAGATCTGCACCCTCTGATTCCTTCCATCTTCTCTCGCTTCGATGCTGTCACTAAGCTGGCTCTGAAATGTGACCGTAAATCTGTTAGCATCGGCGACGAAGCGCTTGTTCAAATCTCGGAGCGTTGCCGGAACTTGACTCGCCTTAAGCTCCGAGCTTGCCGTGACTTGACCGATGCAGGCATGTCGGCGTTCGCTAAAAACTGTAGGGGTCTAAAGAAGCTGTCGTGTGGATCTTGCACTTTCGGAGCTAAAGGCATGAACGCCGTGCTCGACAACTGTCCAGCTCTCGAGGAACTCTCCGTGAAACGACTTCGGGGCATCACCGACGGAGCTGCACCTGAGCCTATAGGTCCGGGGGTGGCAGCGGCGGCGTTGAAAACGATTTGCTTAAAAGAGCTTTACAATGGACAGTGCTTTGGTCCGCTTATTATTGGTGCAAAGAATCTAAAATCTTTAAAGCTTTTTAGATGCTCTGGTGATTGGGATAAGCTTTTCCCTCTTATAGCGGATCGGGTCACGGGTATGGTAGAGATCCATATGGAGCGGATCCAAGTCAGTGATATCGGTCTTGTGGCGATATCCAACTGTTTAAACCTAGAAATTCTTCACCTTGTTAAGACTCCCGAGTGTACCAACGCCGGACTCGGAGCTGTTGCAGAGAAATGTAAATTGTTAAGGAAGCTTCACATCGATGGATGGAAAGCGAATCGCATAGGTGATCAAGGATTAATCGCTGTTGCAAAATCTTGCCCTAATTTACAAGAATTAGTTCTTATTGGTGTTAATCCGACGAAACTGAGTTTGGAAATCTTAGCTTCAAATTGTCTAAATTTGGAACGCTTAGCTTTATGCGGTAGTGATACTGTTGGTGATGCGGAGATTTCTTGTATTGCTGTGAAATGTATAGCTTTAAAGAAGCTTTGTATTAAGAGCTGCCCTGTCTCAGATCATGGAATGGAAGCGCTTGCTAGTGGTTGCCCTAATTTGGTTAAAGTGAAGGTGAAGAAATGTAGAGGAGTAACTCCAGAGGGTGCACATTGTTTAAGAGCGAATAGAGGATCGCTTGCGGTTAATTTGGATACAGGGGAACATTTGGATGCGAGTGTCAGTGATGGTGGTGCACAAGATAATGGAGTTGAATTTCCTCTGGTGGTGGCTGGTCAAATTGGAGCTCCTAGCATTGGTTCGAGCAGCACAGGTCGGTCAACATCGTATAAGTTGTTGGGGCTTTTGAGTGGGAGGAGCTTAGTGGCTTGCACCTTGCGGAGGTTGGCAAGTAGTAATGGCAGTTCTCGGAGTTAATTTGGATTGGAGAAGGCCAGAAAAAGGGAAAAAAAAAACTACTCTTTGTCTTGATCTGTTTACATTATTTTGTATTGTAGCATCGGATGCCGTTGTTTGTGTATTTAATTCAATGCTGTGTGCCGCTGATTGCCTTTTGAATTGAAACTTCATCTTCCAAAGTGATAATTCCTTTTTTACTTTCCTATAGTTCTGTTGAGTCGTAGTTTCTTATTTACCAAGCTCTCTCTATATCTTTTTTTTGTATGTTACAAATATATTTTCCTGGATGGAATTGAAAGAGCAGCAACCTCGTACATTAGTTAGATCTGTCTATTATTTGGCTTCGGCTTCTGCTTCTTTTGATGCCTATTGAGTTTGATACATATGTCCATTAGATAGGAGGTGTGTTTGTATTGAAAGTACTTGACTGTTCGATTTTCAGCATCAAATCGTTGAATGTCGATAAAATATTAATAGAAGTTTTCTGTTTTATAGTCAGTTTATATATATATATTGAATGCAATTATTCTATTGCCTTTTTCTGAATTGTTTCCAATATGATCAAAGGTATAGGTGAGGAGTCAGAACGTAGAACCGAGTTAGACTTAGAACCAATTGTTTCAAACAAATAAATTTGACGATGGAATCTAGATTCAAAAACATTTAAATGTTAGTTGGATTGTGAACTAATGGTCAGCCGTAAGTAGTTGCTCTGGGCTGGAATATGTCACATTAGCATTGCTCATTGAGCAGCTTGTGAATCTTTAAATGGTTAATTCATCCATCTTTCTCATTTACTTGCACTTCCTTTATCAATCCTAGCATGCATGCAGGGAATCTATATTTTGTTTTCATTGATGGAGAACACACAAGCCTGAAATATTTGACATTTTCTGGTTTTAACTGCGCTTGTATAAATCTAGTCTGGATATATTGCAATGATTATCACCTTGTTTGGGTTATATTTTATCTTGTCATCTCACATGAGGTACAGCGAAAAAACACATCAAGGTCAATGTAAAAAATGCAATTAGGTATATTATTCAGATGCCATCAGCAAAAAGTTCCAATTTTATCAGGTGGGAGGGCTATGATTTTGGGGCCAACTGCTTGGATGATCACCCCTCAACTGAGTCAGATTTTATGAGGTCTGTAGCTCTTCACATGATGCTCCTTTAGTTGTCTTGGTGCTCTCCACATCCGAAAGTGAGGTACATTTAACTTTCATCCATTTGTTTTACTTAGTTATTACTAATACATAATATTGCTAAATTAGTATGTCACTTTAACTTTTCCCCCATAACTTGCTTGCTTTTTGAAGTTTTTTAATATTCCCAAGAAAGTCGGTTTTCTCCAAGGTATAGTAACATTGTTCTTTAGGCTGCAGCATGGTATAAGGGAATAAAACTATATATTCAATTGCAAACTAATTTCCTATCATGAATCTTTGACTGCATGTCTGCATACATATGTACATGTTACATACACATTTAGTTAAACATGTAATATATTGCTTGCGAATGTTGATGTCTATAGAAAAATGGTGGCATGATTGAGTTTTGATTTTGTTCTGAATTTCCACTGTTGACCTATCCATAAACAGAGATTGGGTTGGAATTTCTGGAACGAATGGAGATTTCTCTTGTGCATTTTAAAGCATCCCTGACTCGATGTTTCCTTTTGTTGTCTCTAAGATAATGATTGTTAACAGTTATGATGATCGTTTGGTTCCTGGGAAAGGCATGTCCTGGATTTGAGAACTGGGTGTTTAAAAAGAAAGTATCCCACAAATTTAATTAAAAACTTGGCTGTCCGGACTGAGGACCAGTTTTGATTGGAGCCCCCTGCTCCTTGTGCCGAAAAGTCTCATGTCATTGACATCTCTCACATTCCTGCCTAGAAAATTAATTCGAAACTGCCCTAAAAAATGCTGGAGACCGGAGACTTTTGCTTTTGAAAGCAATTGGTCCATCACAATGGTAAAACTTTCACATTTGCAATGCGTGGTGTTAATTTTTTCCAAACTTGACATTAGGATATTTTCATGTTTCGGTTGAATGATAACGATATCTAGAAATAGAATAGTTCAATTTGATGGAAATTTTGACGCCAGTGGCCACCCAACCTAACATTTCCAAAAAGCATTATCTTATCACAGAATTCACGCTTTCTTCTACCATTGCCTGCCTTCCACGCTTTCTGATATCTTTACAGCTTATGCTATATCCCACTTGGATTGGTGGCAACCATTTTCTTTCTAATGAATTATGTACCCCTTTTACTTTTCAACTTTTCTTAGCCATTCTCCTATGGCAAATGGCAATGCTTTCTTTCCCTCCGAACCCACTCTTGGTTTTTGCTTTCTTCATGACATGACATGGGAAAATTCATGGAGGCTACCTCTTGCAACCTAAAAAGATTAAAAAAAAAAAGAAAGCATTGTTTGATGCATATTATCTAGCAAGGCTGGAGAGCACAGACAAAAAGTATACGGACCGCTGTGAACCATCGCCATCTGTGTTAGAATCCTAAAAAGATGAAATATCATGACAAAACCACTGTAGATTGCATGGTTGACCGGTAACTTATGATTGGACAGAAACCTTAGCTTGTGATCTTAGTTCTGTCATCCGAGGGTTACCATTCCCGTGATCCGACCCAGATTGATCGACAAGACCGGGAACACCAATGAAAATCTATGGGAAACTTCGGACAAAGTCTTCAATTCATCACAAAATTCAGAACTACATCTTGAAAGATTGTCTTCTTGTGGTCTATGCATTGACAACTACCTCGCTTAGCCTAAACGCCTCATTAACAGCAGCATGATTCATAAAGAGAAGCATATTAGAGATAAAGAATCTCATTTAAAAAAAAAAGCCCGGTAATTCATTACACTAAAATCTAAACTAGCATCATCTTTAAGACCAACAAATTTCCATAGCTGTAACGTGAGATCATTCTACTTTTCTTTCTTTTCCTTCTGGGCCTGGGCTTGAGGCTTCTGATATACAGTAATTTGACTCAGGATTGTGCCATTTGTCAGAACACCAAGTACAGAGCCCATAATAACTTCGAAGGACTCAAGGACAGCAAACGCATAAACATATATTTACGATTATAAGCAACTTTAAAAAATTTTTGGAAGACGAAAGTAAATATAATAGAAAAAGGATACCACTTGTTTTTGCTTTTTCCTGGATCTTGGTAAATACTTTCATTGCAAGAGAAAACTATCAAATGAACTTAGCTTCTACCTTATCATCGGCATAGAACAACACTTTCTCTATGGCTCTATAAACATATGATACTCCAATAGCTCCATTAATAATACGATCTTACCAAGGGAGCCACCAGAATTCATTAAGCATGTTAAGAAGCTGCGCACCCCAGTACTTTTATTCTACTAAAAAAAATAACTGTTCATTATCAACATTAGAGAATTAGCTAAAAGCATATGTAGGATGTGATATAAATAAATAAGTCACAGGACTTGCAATAAGACAGTAAGCAGAACCAACAGAAGAACTCATTATCATTTTGTGGAACCTGACCCGGATTTAGTTATATACTAGTTAAATAAATTACCAATTTACTAGATAGAACTATTGAGTTATAGAAGTTTACTGAATCTACCAAAGAATGAAGCCTTTCTTTATTTTAATTGGTTGGATTATAAATAGGCTTTGGTCTCCTTTTATCAAAGGATGGTGCAACTGTGCAACAAACACTGGGTATTGATGATTTCCCGCCATCCTACACACTATGTTTTCAACATAACAGCAGTATATCACTCGCAGGCAAAAACATAGCTAGAAGCTAAGAGTTTTTACATGTTATATCAGCATTTAAGGATTATGAAATACCAGCCCCCTTCAGTTAGTACACTTTCGAGCAAATGTAAAAAAGGAATGACAATTTACAAGAATCAAACCCTTATACAGATTTACAGATGTTTGTAAAGTATATATCTGAGAAAGGTTTAGAAGTTTCTTCCCTTAATTGCCAATACTTGGCAATTTCAGAAACCAAAATGTTCGTTAATAAATTATATGGAATTCAAGTTATACTTACAGAAAAGTTCTTCCATATTAGGGGCACCCTGGCAAAAAAAAAAATAATAATAATAATTGCATGCTGAGATGTCTGTAGCACGTTTTGTCCACATTAAAATAGTGTTAGCCATATAAGAGCTTCATAGTTGCAAAATTCAAGCTTCCAAACATTAGGACACGGATATCTTAGAAAATATTATCCCCAAAACCATAAGTTGATGAGAGAAAAAAGGTAAAAGAACATAGAGGAATGCAAGTAAGGCAGTATGTGCTCAACAATGTCTTCTAAATACAGTAGGGACAGTGAAAGTGGCTACTCACATATAGAGCTTCAAAAAGAATAGGATCAATTTGACAAGCTATGACCGTTGGTGCTATAGCACAATATCTGAAATGCCATCATGTTAAGGAAACATATATATGTTTTTCCTTCCTGCAGATCAAAGTAAAAAGAAACTTCAAAAAGCAAAAAGAAAGAAAAGGAAAATATAATTGAGAAAGCAAGCAGGACACAGTAGCACACTGATCCATGTTGACATGCCCACAGGTTGCGACAACTAGTAAATTATAGCGACTAAGATTAGTGCTGTAAGAGAAGAAAAATCAGGTCAAACATTTAACGATGCAATATCTGTTCTCCAAAATATAAATAAAAATTGTATGAAGATGGAAAAATTAAACCAACCAAAAGATGACCAAGGTACTTGCTTCACGAAGATATGAATTTTGCATCATATTTCAGAGCTAGAAGGCTTAACCAGTTCTGGAGCCTATTCTGGTTGGTTTCAATTATCACATATGCATAGTATATTAATTTCTGAATTCTACTTCTAATATATCTACTAAACAAGCAACCACTCACGCATGCATACACATACAGACCCATGCATGTGTGCACATGAACCATATGACATAGAGCAGCAGAGGAAATGGGAAAGGAGCAAGGCAACACTGAACTGGTTCATGATTGCAAGATATTAATATGCACATTGCACAAAACAAATCATGTTTTCTTTAGCTTAAATTTGTACAAATTGGGTTAGTCCAAACTTCAGGTTTGGACTTTGGATCAGAATGCTTGTTCTTATCCTGCTTATGGTCCAGCCTACAAACAGTTTAGATCCTGATCCGATGCCTACTGCATAACAAGTCTGACTAAAACAATTTCCTTCAGCATGAAACAATGGCATATCAATTATCAAACATGGCTGACAGTCAAATAAACAAATATGCACTCTACTTCCAACATCTTTTTGGAGAGGTCAGCATGATTTCCTGAATTTCTTATACGACACAATTTAGAACTTCACCGTAACATGCAAAATCACAGAAAAAAAAATAAAAATAAAAATCCTGCTAGACTTACCTTGGAACAAAAGAAATGCCAATTCTCCATAAGCTGAAAAAGGTAGTCCTTTATGAAGGCAATGGTATAACCAACTACTTCAAACTCAAAGGCTACAAAACTAAGCCTCTAACACTTCTATGTTTCAAACTTTTAAATATCTGGAATGGTTACAACAATAATAATAGCATTATTACATAAAAGTCAATTAATGATCTCACTTATACATAAAAAAAACCACTGCTTTACTAGGAATCTAAACGATCCCAGTAATATACCAATAAAGAACCTAGGAGTAAGACATTTAATTTCTAGGATCAGTGCGTTTATAATAAAAAAATGTATCTTGGAAATGAAACTAAAAAACCCAAAAGGCCAATTAAGTTGAATAAGGGCATGGTAAAGAAAGAAAATGGATTACCAGGTAATCCAATCATTTTCTTGTTTCTGCTGCTTCTTCGTTGCTCTGCTTTCTCTGCTCTCAGTTAATTCCATGGGTTTAACAAAGGTTTCGTTTTTTCCAAAAGCACCCAGATCGGGCCAAGACTAGACAAGGTGACAAAACCAGTAACACGGTTGCTTGGTGCAATTGCACAACGATAATCACCACGCCTAGGCCTAGTCTGTTTTTCAGGAAACTTGCTTTTTTTTTCACATGATTGGATGCTTCCTCTGTTTCTGAATGGGCCAATTTGACAGTCTCCAATTTAAGCACCCAAGCCCAAGTGTTTTATCATGTCACTTTGACCTGAAAAAATACTACTATTTCCTATAGCATCAATTTCTGTAAGCTTTCCTATTGATTACACCGAATTTATGCTTTTGCTTTATTATTATTATTATTATAAATTTATATACATGCATTGGTCCAATATAATTATTAAAAATGTTGATTCTTAAATTTTCTCACAATCCAAACATATATATTTTTTATTTAGTGACTTGGTCTTCCCTATGTTTTTAATCCAATTAACGTTCATAAGTGGAAAATGAGAAATCAGTAAAAGGTCAAGAAAAATTAGTGTCAGGTATTAGTTATAATGATATTTGAGAAAATGAATTTACTATTAATGCATTATTTTTTATTGGATTTTATAAAAATAATGTGTTAAATAAAATTTTTTAAATAGTATTTTTATATTAAAAAATTATAAATATTGATATTTAAAATTTAACTTTATTAAATATTTTATTTTAAAAATAATTATATGAATAAATAAAATTAAATATTATAATCTTTTAAAATAATATTTTATCTAACCATCAATCATAATTATAAGTACGCGGCCGCTTATTTATTTTCAAACACGGTAATAACAAATCCCTTAAATAATCAGAAAATCTTAGCGTATCAATTGCCCAACAGACTTTTTTTTTTTTCCCAATCTTCCGTTTTGTCAACGTTGACTAGATTTGATTGCTAAAACGCGATTTTGGTCAAATTTGATTTGGTTTCACAAATGCAGGCCAAAGTTTGAAAAAAAAAAATTTCTTCATCAATCAATTAATTTCACCCTTAAAAGCTGTAATCTTGAAATAATTAATTAATCTCTTAATTTTATTTTCTAGATTTGTAAGAATCATAACATGTCTGTTTTTCTTTTTTCTTTTTTTTTAAAATGTAAATGGTTTTTCAACGCCCAGCTGTAGGCATCAAAGCTAAAGCCATAGGGTCTAACCCTTTCAAGACTCTAATCACAAATTCAACGGGATGATATCATATCAAATGATGAAAAAGAGACCAATCAAACGGTACAAGACAAATCTTATATTATTATTTTTATTTTAATTTAAATCAAACGGATGTGGGGGCCACTCTTTTTTATGTTATTGAAGAAAGAATCCCATGTGACTTGTGGGACGAGACTTTGACGCAGGTTCCGGTTTCCGGTGTAAGTGGGTGGGGCCCTGCTTTTTTGGGTCAACTCTACCTCACTGTCTCCAACCCACAAAAAGAAAAATTTAAAACCCCGATTTTACAGGGTCATCAATCCAACGGCTAATCACCACCTTTTGACCTTATCCCCACTTCTGTTTCATCATTTGGACACGGTCTCCAAACCGGTCTGTCCCGTTGCCAGGATCCCTTTTTAAAGCGAGTTGGTGAATGTGCTGTGAACTTTATGAATACGTGGAATGATTTGATTGGGAAGTGAGCTTGACGGCAATATGCAACAGAAGCGACAGGTGAGTGACCCAATGCTTGCATTTATAAGGCATCAGTTTGACACCAATCACCTTCCACATTCTCTCTTTGATTTTCTTTTTCATCGTTATTTCAATTCGTCTTCCCACTTCTTGTGTATATCAAGCATTTCTTTTCTCTATATCTATAAAACTGCTTCTGCTTTCGGTTATCAAAATTGTGGGTTGGGGGCGACTTGGTTTTCTTTAATGAGCAGAGATGGCTGTGATGATGGGATATGGTGGTGGTAATAGTTTTGCAGCGAAAATGGAGGAAAGTGCTTTGAGAGAAGCTGCAACTGCTGGGATTCAAGGTGTTGAAGAATTGATAGGATTGATGACAAAAAGTCAACAGCTTTACAATCGAGATGCTTCTTTTAAAACTTCCTCTCCTTCAGATTCTGAGCCAGCTATGGAAATCCAAGCTGTAACAGATAAGACGGTTAATTCCTTCAAGAAGGTTATCTCTTTACTGGATCGACCGAGGACTGGCCATGCTCGATTTAGACGTGCCCCTATTAGTCCTCTCCAACAAGAAGAGAAACAACAGCAACGAGAGTCACAACAACGTGTGCAGACTATTCAAGAGTCGGTAACTTCTTCTGTTCAAGTAACCAAAGATCAGGTGTCTGCTTTTAAGCCTTTTTGTCCAACCCCAGGTCATAGGTTGCCTCCTTTACCTCATAATCACCACCAGAGTAAAAGCAGTCCTCTTCTGGTGACAAAGTCTGGTCTTTTGGAGAGAAATGAAGCGCCTAGTACTATCAATTTCTCATCTTCGGCTCCCTTTTCTGCTGGGAATTCTTTTATGTCTTCATTGACAGGGGATACTGATAGCATGCAGCCATCTTTCTCTTCTAGCTTCCAATTTACTAGTCCTTCCCATATCCCTTCTTCTGGTAAACCTCCTTTATCTTCCTTTTTGAAAAGGAAGTGCAATTCCATGGATGATGCTGCTCTCAAGTGTGGATCATCCTCTGACCGTTGCCACTGCTCCAAGAAAAGGTTGGCTTTTCTTCCTTTAGGTTATACATTCAATTTCTTCATTTAATTTAATATAGTTGGTTCTGAAGTTCATCCTTTTGATTGAATTTTTGCTATGTAGGAAACAAAGAGTGAAGAGAGTCATTAGAGTTCCAGCTATTAGCAACAAGATGGCTGATATTCCTCCCGATGATTATTCCTGGAGAAAATATGGCCAGAAACCAATCAAGGGTTCTCCTCATCCAAGGTGTGTAAAAATTGTTTGATTTTTTTGGCTTTCAATTTTTAACCTTTAACGTTTCCTTGTTTTTATCGTTGGCTCTTTACTAGTTTCTAGTGTTCACCCATTTGCGGTTTGACCAGAAGCCTCCAGACAATAAATCAAATTGGCATTGAATGTTTTTGTTTTCAACCACAATTGCCATATTGTTGGTGGCGATTAATTGCCATTGACGTTTTTGTATTGTACATTGAACTGCCTACCGAGTTAGTTCATTTGTTAAGCGTGTCTGTCCACTTTCTCAGTCCCTGAGTTTCATTAACCGTTTCTTTGGGCAATTCCAGGGGCTATTACAAGTGTAGCAGCGTAAGAGGCTGCCCTGCAAGAAAACATGTAGAGCGAGCTCTAGACGATGCAAGGATGCTGATTGTAACATATGAAGGAGATCACAATCATAGCCATAACAACACAGACGAGCCAGTAGCTTTGGTCCTGGAGTCATCTTAGTCCCCACCATCCAACGGCCCTGAAATGGTCATCAAATTGAACCAGACCCGTTAAAGGGCATATCTTGAAAGATCAAGCTATTCGTAGGGTTTGTTCAGATGGTCAACTTAGAGCCAGGCTGTTTCCAAGAAGACCAGAAGGTTGATTGGTGGGTACGCTAGCTGTTTAAAGAAACAATATAGGATTCCTTGTTTTTGGTTTTAGCACAAGACTTGGACCAAAAAAGAAATAGGCATAGATTAGGAGATTGTGGATTTGGTGGGAGTTGAAACATGCAAGTAGTGGGGGTTTTCTTTTTCATCTTTCTATTTTTTAATGTTCTTATACTCAATTACCAGAATCTTTTTTAGCTTTAATATATATTATACAATATGGTGGATCTTGCTGAGGCTGCTCTCACTTTATTTTGTTCCAATGTCCACTAAACCCCTGAATTCTGATCCACTATTTTATTTCATGAGGCAAATGGGTGTTGCAGTAAATTAACAGATCAGAAATTTTCATTTAACATTTGATGGTGTCTTGCATGTGAAGGTTGACTTGATACTGAATTTAAGAGTGTGATAAAGAAAGGAAAACAAAAAACTATGGTGGTTCTTTTGTCAGCTTGTGATTGTTCCCAAGTTCAAATTCTATGAATTTTGTGGACTGAGGTTGCAATCATGGATTAATGGTCGGATTTGGTAGTGGTAGAGAATCAATATTGTTGGGTTTTTGGTTTATTGAGAGCTCCATTTCAAATTGGATAATAATAGTAAGTCAAACTGGCTGGTCTGGCGTGTTGATATGTTTGTCCCCCACCCCACTCCCTTTTTTTCTTCCAATTTGAACATCTGCTGTCTATTTTCTTTGCTTTTCCAAGTTTTTCAGATTAAGAATTTAGAATAGCATTTCTATTTTCTTGTTATTCAATCGATAGGGTTAGACATTGCTTCACAAAACTTTTACTATTTAGGTCAAACTTAAACTGTACTCTACGAATATTTTTCTACCGTTCTTCATTGCATTTGAATTTCGAAGCCTATCTTAAATTCAAAAGAAAAGTCACATTCGTTTACCTATACTGCCAGGAGGGTTCAAGTCTATGCTCCTTGAGAAATGTCCTTTTGAATTTCTTCATTTATGACCGTGACGAGTATTTGCTATATTTGATTTCTTGACCAATGGTGATTCCCTGCCATCGCTGTCGTCTACTCAAAGTTGCCATGTTCACTTTCAACAAGATGACATGCTACTCTCTTCTTTTGGGAGATTGATTTAACTCCTTTCAAATTCAACCTTCCTCTTTTCCAACTAAAAATCTCCATTCATCAACAACAAAAACTTGTCTGGAATTTATGTAATCTGTCACATGCTAAAAGCCAAAAAAGATAAAGTTCAAAATCAATTACGAACCTTGTTTGACATTACATTTTAAATTCAAATCGGTTTTCAGAAATTCAAGTACGACGGCAAGGCATCATAAATTTGAGCTCCACACAAGAAATTTTAAGCCATCCTTGTTGCAGGTTTTGTGTTATGATTTTGCAGATAGCACCCAAACAAGATGCTGGTTATTCATGCTTTAAGCTCTGTTCATTTCTTTTTGTTCAAGTATAGCTGATAGAATTTGGTCAATGAAACCTTTCTCCAGAGTGGGAAAGGAAAAAGTGAAAGGTTGAATCTCAAAGACAAAACTTTACTTTGAAACCAAGAAAATAAAGGAGACTAATGAGCTACAAAACAAGCACTTTGATTTCTGTTAAACTATCACTTGTACGTAAACTATTACTTAACCCTGAAGCAACCGGTGTCACCTGTTCAAACTAAGTTGTAATGTGTTAACTAAGTAAAGAGATACTGTTGATAAATTCGAAGTTGATTAATATAATTATTTTTAAAAAATAATATTTAATAGATTTAAAATTTAAATTTTAATATCTATAATTACAATTTTTTTTCAAACTACGGCTTCCTAAGTACAATGTTCGCATGAATTTCCAACCATCTTGTTCTAAATACATTGATCAAATTGATTAAAGTTAATGTCCCAAGAAAGAAAAAATGTCTAAGCTAGAATGAAATCAGATTCAATCAGAATTCCCAATATTATCAAGCTGGCAAACCCTCGATGGGCCAATACAATCAGCTCAACTTTGTTTTAAGGCTCCCAATCTCAACCAAGACTCTACTTTATCGTTCGCCTTCGGAGTTTGGCGAGTTTTTATGGCCCAGACCATTGCTTCTCCTAGATTCATCAATGTCGACCAGGGCTCGGGGTTTGAGTTACAAGGTCCAGTTTAGTTGGGTCCGTTTCCTCATCTACTTACCAAAGATTAAACCCTGTTTAGTTGTTAACTGGACAAGGCAGTTATGTTTATAAGCTAAGGCTTGATCCAAATAGAAAGTCCATCGGCGAATGCAGTTATCGATATGTTATATATAAAAACTATTAAAAATTATAGTATATTGATATGTGGTAAGTCCATTGCTTGTTATGTGTTATTTTTATTATTTTTAAAATTTTTCAAATATTTTTAACGGTTGATATATTAATATGTGACGAACCTTTTATTTATCTTGTGAAAATTCTTTAAATAAAAAAATTTTAAAAATTAATTTACTTAATTATAATTATAATTTTAAAAAATAAGAGTTGAGTATAGGGATGATGATATGTTGTTGGCAATTATAATAGCTTAAAATGTTTTTGTGAAAAATAAAAAGCACTAGATAATAAAAAAAATCTATAAAAATATATCTAACTTATTAAAGAAAAAATCAACCTTTAAAATTTTAAAACTATCATAATAAATTCCAATCACTTATTAAAACAAAAAAAAAAAATTGCAACTAAAAATAATCAATTGAAAAAATAACCTATCTGAAAATCAACTAAAAGATCTCATCAAAAATAATAAAATTTCTTTAAAAATTATCAAATCTAAAATTTAAATATTTTTTTAAAATATGTTTTAAAAAATATATATAATTAAAAACTAAAAAGATTAGATTTGAAATTTTTTAATAAATTACAAAAGAATTAATAACAATCAATCAATACAAACAACCATATAAAAACTCTAGATATAAGATTTTCAAACTCTTTTATTTTTTAATCTATAAAATTTAAAAACTAAAAAAGATAAACTTTTTTAAATTATATTTTATAAAAATAAAAAATTCCCCTTCCTAAGCAGGGGTAACGTTCTAGTTTTTATCAAATACCCCCCATCCAAGAGCTTGCAGCTGGGCACCTTATTGATGGTAATTGTTGTGCGTGTATGTGTGTTTTTTTTTTAAGACTAAAAGTAAATCAAATATTTAAATGCCAGCAAACTTGTTGAACGTTAGCACAATCATGTTCTTCTATAATTGACAGTCTACTAACCCCATTTTTTTTTTCCTCCCATCGTTGAACCATGCCTCATGGATCCAATGTTGTGCTCGATTTTAACTACTATAATATATAGTTAGTAGATATGTAAGCCTAGATTATGAATTGTAGGTAGGCCTAGCTGAAGAAGATGGACCAAAGCTCTTTTTTCCCGTTATATTCTTTATATAACAATCTGAAAAAACTGGAAGAAAGCCAACTATCCTAAGCTCGAGTGCCCAAATTGCACCAGTGCTTCAATGATGCGCGAGACAATATCCTTTCGATTCATTCAGCATCTTCTTGATGTCCCTTTGGTTTATGCATTGAAAAAGTTCTTCCATAATCGGTATATGAAGAAGTAAAGTATCCGCCTAACCCTTCAAGAATTTTGATTACGAATATAACTAATAATAAACGAATGAGCTTAGCATAATTTTTTTTATCTTCAAATTATTGCATCTTTTATAATAAAAAAAAAATTGAATTTGCAAAGGAGGTTAAGGTTTCGCACGTGAGACCTTGACAAAAGAAATTCTTAGCCATTGTTGTTATCGGAAGTTGTAATAAATTAAGAAAGATTAGGTGAAGGTTTTGGGGGCATCTATTCTCAAATATTCTTCATTCTAGGTTGTAAATGATTAATTAAATAAGTACAACAGGAACGTCAAAATTATATAACGTAACTGATCGTATGAGTCATTGATACTTGAATTTAAAAAGATTTTCTTGAAAAAAGAAAAGAAAAGGAAAGATGAACGTTACATATAAGTGAAATCAGATTACTATTGCCAACAATCAAGTTCCACAGCCCTTTCTTTTTTTTTTTTTTCTCTTGCTTTCAGTTATTTACTATTTAGGTTGTTCATTGACTATAAGAAAGTGATTACGAGTCAAGACGTAGAGAATTTTTTATGAAGAAAAGGTGGAATCAAATGTAAAGAAATGATCAAATCAACATAGCTGAAGGTAGCAATTTCACTTTGGCGTCGGTGGGACTTTTCTACTTCTCACTAACCCTGGCTCCACTAACCTTTGGAAGAAGGTTATTCACTTATTCTCACTCTTTTGTTTCCTAAATAAATCAATCTTTGTGTTATCTTCTTTGTTGTTTTGTTCCCTTATTTGCTTTTCTTCCCTTTGTTTATGAAAAGTTTTGTCATGATTAGTCCCTATAAAACCTACTACAAGCAATTTTTTTTAAGTGCTAAGGAATTTTTTTAACTTTATTTAGCACATTATTTTTTAGATGCTTGAAATAAATTTATTTATGTGATGAATTTATGAGAAATTAATTATCTTTTCAAAGCTTTCCAAAGGGTTAGAATCTGAACAACCAAGAACAAACTCTCTTGTCTGTCGTGTAAAACACCCTTTGATCACACAAGCAATTATTGATGTATAAAGTTATCATAAACTATATTTTCATGAATAATAAAAGCAATAGTCCTTCCATAAATAAATAATTTCTTGGATTCGTGGAAAATCAACAATAATCACGTGGCAGGTAGAGTCATCCAACAAAAAGAATGAAATTAGTTTATACCAAAAAAAAAAAAAAGAATGAAATTCTTAAAGGCAAAATAAAAGAAAAAAAAGGTCTATTTAGCATTTGATTTTGAAACCTAAATGTAGTATCAGAGGAAATTCTGCTTGCTCATGTTAATTCAAACAGACAAAGGATAAGGTTTAAGGAAAAAAAAAAAAAAAACAAAGATAACGTTGCTTACATTAGAATTTTGTGTTTGAACTAATTAGCCATATTCAGATGGATTAAGCTGAAACACTGCTTAAAGACGTTTTCCTGAATAGAATAAAAATGGTACAAATTAAGTATTTTACTTCTTTTTTTTTTTTTCGCTTCATTTTAAATGTACCAAAAATGATTTTTTTTTATTTTAAATACTTTATACTCTCATTTTTTATATTTAAAATTTATTTTTCTAACATGTTTGTCATCTAGGCTTAGATATTAAAAGAATCTACAATGTAGATCTTTGCTTAAAAAATGTCCAAGTCTGGAATAAAGTCGGAAAAAGGTTAATAGATAAGAGTAGTTGTGCATCGTGAGATTGAGCCCCAAAATCTTGACTGGCAGTTCAAACATGTAAGCCTACACTATAAATAATCATCTCCCTATATGCTTTCTGCCACAAGCACCTTCCTTTGCCTGAGGAACAAACAGCTATAGCTAGATAGCAAGCAAATCATGTTTCCAAAACTACTCTTTTCCACTTTCTTTTTCCTGAATACATATTTCTTCCGATTTGCAGTCGCCCAAACTTGCCCCCCTCCCCCAACATGCCCTCCAATCTCACCACCTCCACGCCCTACTAGAACCGTTTCTTATGTTCGTCCCCGCCCGCCGCTATACAATCCTGCACTTCGTCTCCTGCCTCGCCAACCAAATAACAATCCAGGTCCTCTACTTAATAGAGCCAGGATTCTTGCCATTACGCAGGAACTCAAAAGAAACATTACCTTTGACCCGCAAAACTACACCGGTACATGGGTTGGCAACAACTACTGCCTCTTCAAAGGGTTCTTATGTGACACAATTCCAGACAGGAACATAACTGGACTAGCAGGTATCGATTTCAATGGCGCAAGATTTCGTGGTAACTTGAATTTCTATCGTTTCATTGCAAATTTGCCTGACATTGCTATCTTCCATGCCAATTCAAACAACTTTAGTGGGGTCATCAACCAAGGCCTCAGTGGGTTACGCTACTTTTATGAAATGGACTTGAGTAACAACAAATTCATGGGTGGATTCCCGTCAAACGTTCTTGGTGCCACAAACTTAGCCTTTGTTGATCTTCGTTTCAACAACTATCTGGGTTCTGTCCCTCGTAATTTGTTCAATTTCGACACTGATATTCTTTTTATTAACAACAATGTGTTTTCTCAAACAATCCCTACCAATTTGGGAAACACACCAGCACTCTATCTCACCCTAGCAAACAACAACTTCACGGGAACGATCCCACGAAGCATAGCTGCAGCCTGGCAAACCATGACTGAGGTCCTGTTCTTAGGCAACAAGCTATCTGGTTGCCTACCTTTTGAAATTGGGTACTTAAACAGAACGACCGTGTTCGATGTTGGTTCTAACCGGTTAACAGGTCCAATTCCACAGTCATTCGGTTGCATGGCAAAGTTGCAGCTGCTTAATATGGCTCATAACCGCTTCTACGGGCCAGTACCAGAGGTTTTATGTAGGCTTCCAAATGCATTCAATTTCACACTGTCAAACAATTACTTCACCCAAGTAGGCCCACAATGTAGGAGGCTAATCAGGTTAAGAAGGCTTAACGTGAACAGGAATTGCATAGCGGGGCTTCCATTTCAAAGATCAGCAGCTGACTGTACACGTTTCTTTTCAAGGCCTTTGAGTTGCGCAAGGGACAGCACGTTCAGCATCATTCCATGTAGGCTACCAGCGGCTTCATTTAGAACCCGAACCATTTTTCAAGAAGATGAAGTGCCGCCATCTCCACGAACCTATAATGCGCTTGTGAACCCTTAAAGAATTTGAACTATCTAGTTGTGGTCGGTTTTATTAGTACTTTGATTACTAGTTTATGTCTGTTTAAAGAGATGATTAGGTAATATGGTTAAATAAGGGGATTATGATTGCATGGGAACTGATCTTCTCTGTCGTTGTCTTTTCCTTTTTGTATTTGTTTTCTTTCTCTTTTCTTTGAAAGTGATCTCTGTAATTAACAAATAAATGTTCAGTTATTGGTGTTTCATGGATGTTGTATGGCATTCGGTTTCTTTTGGGTTTTATGTTTACTATCATTCCAATTTGAGAGAAAAAAAAAATGGCATCCTTTTCTACAAAAAAGGAAACATTTTGAATGGGCCAACATATGTACCCAAAGGAAAAGAATTTGGCCTAGTGACCCTTGTCACGTATCGCTTGCTCCTATGCCCGTCTAAGAGATCCTGAATCGTGATCCAATCGGAATTCCCAATATTATCAAGCTGGCAAGCCCTCGATGGGCCAATACATTCACTTGAGCTTTTGTCTTGAGGCTCTTAATCTCAGCCTAGACTCTACTCCATCATTTGCATTTGGAGTTTGGTGTAGTTTTATGGAGCAGACCATTACTTCTCCTAGATTCATCAATATCTACCAGGGCTCAGGGTTTTACTTATAAGGTCCAGTTTAGTTGGGTCCATTTTCTCATCTACTTACCTAAGATTAACCCCAGTTTTGCTGTTAACTGGCCCAGGCGGCTATGTTTTATGAGCCTAGGCTTGAACAAAATAGAAAGGTCATCGCTAAATGTATTTACTTTTGTCCAATTACCCTCCTCCAACTCCCAGAGCATGCAGCCTGGCATCTTGTTGATGGTAATGATTGTTCTTTTTTCAAAATAAAAGTAAATCAAAATTTAAATGCCAGCAAACTTGTTGAACGTTTGCACAATCAAGTTCTTCTGTAATTGACAGTCTACTAACCCTTTTTTTTCCCTCCCATCATTGAACCACGCCTCATAGATCCAATGTTGTGCTCATTTTCAAGTACTATATTATAATTAGTAGAATGTAGACCTAGAATATGAATTGTAGGTAAGCCTAGGTGGAGAAGATGGACCAAAGCTCTTTTTCCCCTTTATCTTCTATATATAACAATCTTCTTTATAACAAAAAATTCACTTTGAGTACGAGGATAAGGTTTCGCCCTTGAGACCTTGACAAAAGAAATTCTTAGCCATTGTTGTTATCAAAGTTGTATTGATAGTGGGATTGATTTCAGTAAAATTATAAAAAATAATAAAAATATTGTATCTATGATTAAAAAAATTATTATAACTGTAATTAAAAAAATTTATAAAAAAATTTATATTGAATGAATCTCATTGAAATTAATATTTAAATTCAACTAATGAAATGATAATTCAATTATATCGCATTGAAAATGCAATGAAATCCAAACCTCCCACTAATTAAGAAAGATTAAGTACAATAGGAGCATCCAAATTATATAACATAAACCTGATCATAAGAGTTATTGATACTTTAACTTAAAAAGATGTTCTCAAAAAAAGAAAAAAGAAAAGAAAAGAGGAAGGTTATATATAAGTGAAATCAGATTACGAACTCCAACAATCAAATTCCACAGGCCTTTCTTTATTTTTATTTTTATTTTTCTCTATTTAGGTTGTTTATTGACTATAATAAAGTGATTAAGAGTCAAGAAATAGAGAATTTTTATAAGAAAAAGGTGGAATCAAATGTAAAGAAGAAGGTTATTCTCACTCCTTTGTTTCCTAAATAAATCATTGTGTTATCTTCTTCATTGTTTTGTTCCCAATATTTGCTTTTCTTACCTTTGTTTATGAATATTTTTATCATGATTTATCCCAAGAAAACCTACCACAAGCAAATTTTTTAAGTGATAAGGAATTTTTAAACTTTGTTTAGCACATTTTGTTACATAGTCCAAATAAATTTATTTATGTAATGAATTTATAAAAAATTAATTATCTTTTCAAATGATTCAAATTAAACAACCTAGGAGAACAAACTCTTTTGTCACTTGAATAAAACATCCCTTGATTACCACAAGCAATTATGGATATATAAAGTTACCATGAACTATGTTTCCATGAACAATAAAAAGCAATGGCCCTTTCATATATAGATAATGTCTTGGATTCGTAGAAGAACAACAACAATCACATGGCTTTAATTAGTTTGTACCCAAAAAAAAAAAAAGAAAGAAATTCCTAAAAGGAAAATAAAATAAAAGAAAAGGTCTAATTTGTTATGATGTGATCCCATTCTCTTTTACAAATTAAAGGCCATGGGCTCATGGCCTTTTGTTTTAAACAACACGTGATAGCCGTATTTTTAACGGGACGAGCGTTTTATGAGACGTGAGGAAAAAAAAAAAAGAGTGAGCGGTGCAAAACCGTGAGAGAAAAAGAGAAACCAGAAAAGAAAAAAGAGAGAAATGGGGAAAAAGAGAAAAATATTGATGCAAGTTTAAACAAAAAGTTAAACAGATGCTGATTTGTCACTTAACGTTATCTTAAAATAAATTTTATTTGATAAAAAATTTCGAATTGTTTCTTTAATTAAAAAAGAATTAAAGTGATCTTCACGTTTCTTTTCAAGGCCTCTCGTGAGTTGCGCAAGGGAGAGCACGTTCAGCATCATTCCATGTAAGCTACGAGCAGCTTCATTTAGACCCCGAACCATTTCTCAAGAAGATGAAGTGCCGCCATCTCCACGAAGCTATAATGTGCTTGTGAAGCCTTAGAGAATTTAAACTGTCTAATTAAAGTCGGTTTTATTATTATATTCATTTCTAGTTTATGCCTGTTTAAAGTGACGATGAGTTATTGTGTTAAACTAGAGGGGATTATGATTGCAGGGGAACTGATCTTCTCTGTCATTGTCTTTCTCTCTTGTTTTTGTTTCCTTTCTCTTTTCTTTGAAAGTCATCTCTGTAATAAACTAATTAATGCGCGGGAAATTGGTGTTTCATGGATGTTGTATGGCAGTGGGTTTCTTTTTGAGTTTTATGCCTACTATTGTTCCAATTTGAGAGAAAAGAGAGAGAGAGAGAGACAGAATGGCTGTTCTCTTTTTCTACAAAAAAGGGGACATTTCGAATGGGTCAATATATGTACCCAAAGGAAAAAAATGGGCCAAAATAATCCCTGTCTGTCATGTGGAATTCTTGAACTGTCCAATTTTGGCATTTGCCCAAATCGAGCAAAATATTTTTGTTGGTGGGCTTGACTATGATGGGTCGTCTAGTTAGTATGGGTTTTTGTTTCGACTTCAGACAAAGTGATCCTTATGTTTTGTTTTACTCATTATAGAGAAGTAAGCGAGGTTGGGATACAAGGTCCTATCAAATTGGTTCATACTATATTTGGAAACAATCCCTTCCACTTCACATTGTTTTTGTGCGAGAACTGGTCATCACTTTGATTAATATTCGATTCCACATTGTTGAATTGCTTAGTGTGACATCTTTTCATTTGACTGAGTGCCTATAATGATTCAATGGTGAAATGGTGCGAATTACGAATAGGGTTCACTGGTAACTTATATGTTTTAAACAGTTTGTCAGCAATTTTCAATGAACACTAATCATCATTTTGTTGATTACCATATGGTATTTCGATTTAGTCTAGAAAGTAGTGAAATAGAGGAAGAAATTTTCTTTGAACAAAAATAAAAAGATAATATAACTTTCATTTTTTGAAAGATGGAACATAAAAGGCTTTTTTCTGTATGAGAGTGGTGATTATGAATTAGAAGTTAGAACATATGTTGTGTTCAGACTTAGCCTTCCTGGAAAAAAAAAAAAGAAGCAAAGACTAGTCTTGAGTTTAGTTTGTTTTGCACTGTAAATATAGGTTAGGCTATCAAACGAGGAATTATTGCAAAATAAGTTGCTGGTAGATGATCATAGTAGATGGGCCACGGGGTAGTGAAAGCTACGAGAACATCATTGAAGGAAGCCTAAGCCATCAGCTACCAGTTCCAGCAGTCATCGACAATAAAATTCAATCTCAATTCGGAATCAACATGACAGTATTGTTAGATAATGTTGTTTGAAAGTTTGGCCAAAAAAAATGGTGTGAAAGTCTTGTGGTTCTCAAATCGAGAAATGGCAGTGGTTCGAACCCAAGGTGGGTCTTAGTGGGCATTTTCATCATCGATTCTAAGTTGCTAAAAGTATAGTTATTTTACATCAATAACCTTAATAGGCCATTTTCAACCAAAAGAATCTTGATAGCCCATCCAAATTCATGGGTTCATTTGGACTTGGGACCTGAAATCATGGACAATGATCATTTGGGCATTTCTAAGCTCTTACAACAGTTGTCCTCGGCCCTGGTGTGTGGCCACTCATGACCTATATGAGTAATGGCTCATCGTTGTGCTGTCGACTTCAGCAGCAAAATTTCCAACCTTTTCTCTTTACCTGGTAAATTAAATTTACGCAGCAGTGAATGTTTTACGCTTGGAAAATAACATGCACCTGTCATTTTTTAGCTTCATCTTTTCGCATTAAAAAGACAAAAGCCTTTTTGTTACTTGTCCCTCTGATATTTTGGACAGAACTACAGAAGCTGCTATTATTTATTAATAAGGAGTAAGGACCATATATTTCCTTCGTCTCACACATGCAGTACTTGATTGCATGAAATAAATATTTGACGAATTTGAATCTTGCCAAATCGGTCGCCTAGCTATGTAGCTATCTAAATTTAAAGTTGAAGAAACGTACATCTATCTACCCTTTTGGATAAGCATTTGATTTTGCAATTGCATCATACCGTTGCAGATTGTCACCTCCTGTTGGTTTTCTTGGATTGTTTTCTTCTTCGCAAATAAGTTCACTTAGTACGGATGATGTATGAACACCACCAAACTTTTTATTGGGAAGTAATTGTCCACCAGCAAGAAGGCCATGAAGCTGGTGATTTAACGATTAGTCGATTACCAATCAACACCGTTGCAGATACTTGGGAGAGATGACAATGAGGAGACGGGCGTCCTTCGAAGGTGATTTTAAGAGATGGGTATTTTTGTTTTGTCTATCTTATATAGACAAGCCGAGTGCCTTTGAGTTGGATGGATATCATAAAATAATTGAGTTAGATTTATTTATCTTGAACAATCTGTCCAAAGGTTAAAAAAGAAAGGCATCCAATCTTACAGTTTACAGGCATACCCTACCCTTCATCAGCACTCAATATTCAGAGAGAGAGGTAAGTATAGCACCATTTTGGCTTTGGGCATTCTAAAAGCGACTTTTTCATTAGAGTGGGTGTTGAATTACTGTTCGGAACTCTCACAGCTGTTGAAAGTCGAAATAGGCCAGGAGATGACATAGAGTTTACCTTACCTCTTTGGCATTTGTCAAGGCCAAGGGGCCGTACCGCCGAAGATAAAAACAACAGTGGATAAGGAATAGCATAGGAAAGGAAACAAGGGCTTGGGCCCTTCTACGATTGTTGTACGGTAATTGGGGTCATTCAACGACTACATTATTTCAAATTATTTGGGATGTGCATGCACGATGCACCCAATTCCAGTAACAGAAGAAACCATAAAGGCCTGAACTTTCAAGTAGTTGTTCAACCTTAATTTTATCCCGAACATAGAATAATTATGCTAAACCAGAGCGAAAAAGTTGAAACTTGACAAGCTACGATGATACGGAACAATAAAAACATTTTTACAAGTATTTATCTTTTATGAATAATATATACTTACAAAATATGTCTGCTCAAGTAGAATCATTTTAAGCTTTAATTAAATTGATGATGAACGGAAAACAGATTTTAGATTGAACCCGAGTAAAACTGAGCTGGATTAAGACGCAAAAGTATTTCACAACCATAAATGAGTAGTTTTTTGTGTACTTATGGTGGGAGGAGATGTACGAATTTGAATGGAGGGAGCAACGTTTCCTCAACATTATGATTGTAGCTTTCTTCGTCAAGAGGCAATCTAATCCATTAACGCCAAGCCCTACATTAAGAATGTGACAATGTGACCATACCCACGAATATAACCGAAGATCACAGCCACACATTCACCCAATGATTTCTTAGATATTCGAATACTCGATCAAACCCATCAAGCTGCAGATTACCCCAAACTGTGAGTTCACGTGTCAGCTTGACACCGTTACAGGTAAAAAAGTTAACAATCACAGGTCTTTGAATTTTAATTATTTTCCCCATGAAAGAACTGAGAAATGGAAAGACAGAGCCTATAATGGAAAGGCAATGTTAGAGTGGGAGTCGTAGAGGGCTCTGGGAGTTTGGGAACTAACTTTCTTTTTTTTTGCCCATATACCGTGTTCTTACCCTTGCCTTCACGTGATTCTGAGCTTGCAGTCAGACAGTTGCTCCCCTAGCTATTAGATGATTTGTCACGTATCGCTTGCGCATATGGCCGTCTCAATCATCTCTCTCCCTCGAAACACTTTGCCCTATCAGGGGAATGAGGCAGACTAATCAACAAGCACAAGCTTATTTTGCTTTGGACAAGACATTGAGATATACGGAGAAAAGAGGGATCTAGAGAGAGATCTGAAAAGTTTCCCAAGCAATGCTGAAGAGAAGACAACCCCTTCTTCAAAGGCTCTTCTTCATTTTGTTAATAGTATTATGTAGTGTAGTTGCTTCTCCAGAAGCTGCAAAGCTATTGCCATCACCTGAGGCTACTGCTCTTCTGGGTTTTCAGTCTAAAGCAGATTTAAGAAACCATCTTGGCTTCTTTCAAAATGCAAGCTTTCACTTTTGCGATTGGCAAGGAGTCACATGTTACCAGCAAAAAGTGGTACGTCTCATTCTAGAAGATCTAGATCTTGGTGGCATTTTTGCTTCGAACACATTGTCCGACCTTGGCCAGCTCCGTGTCCTGAGTCTCCAAAACAACTCCCTTACCGGATCAATTCCTGATCTCTCAGGTCTCATCAACCTCAAAAGCCTCTTCTTAGATCATAACTTCTTTACAGGTTCTTTCCCTCCTTCAATTCTTTCCCTTCACAGAATAAGAAGCCTTGATTTGTCCTACAACAATCTCACTGGCCCCATGCCAAGCTCGTTAGCATCTCTAGACCGGTTATACTACCTACGGTTGGACTGCAACCGTTTTAACGGTACGATTCCTCCATTGAACCAGTCTTCCCTTAAAATGTTTAACATTTCAGGGAACAATCTTAGTGGTGCAATTCCAGTGACCCCAACATTGCTACGATTTGCTTTCTCTTCTTTTTCATGGAACCCTGGTCTTTGTGGAGAGATTATTCGCAAAGAATGTTATCCAAGGCCCCACTTTTTTGGTCCCATGGCTGCTGTGGTGGCGCCACCGCCTACGGTGGCTCTTGGTCAGAGTGCAGAAATGAATGGTGTGGAGTTAGCTCAACCAAGTTCAAAGAAGCACAATAGAACTGCGGTTATTATAGGGTTTTCTACTGGGGTCGTTGTTCTTATTGGTTCACTTCTTTGCTTTATCATGGCAGTAAGGAAACAGAAAGATAAAAAGCAGTCAACGGCTGTGATTGAATCTGATGACGCGGCGGCTACAGCGCAAGCTGCGGCGGTGATTCAAATGGAGCAAGAAAATGAGTTAGAAGAGAAAGTGAAGAGAGTGCAAGGAATGCAAGTTGCCAAGAGTGGGAACTTGACATTCTGTGCGGGTGAAGCGCAGTTGTATACGCTGGACCAGCTGATGAGAGCGTCGGCAGAGTTGCTTGGGAGGGGAAACACGGGGACCACGTATAAAGCAGTGCTTGATAATCGTCTGATCGTGACGGTCAAGAGGCTTGATGCTGGGAAATTAGCAGGCACAACAAAGGAAACATTTGACCAGCACATGGAATCAGTTGGTGGTTTAAGGCATCCCAATTTGGTTCCTCTCAGGGCTTATTTCCAGGCCAAAGAAGAGAGGCTTCTTATCTATGATTATCAGCCCAATGGCAGTCTTTTTTCCCTCATTCACGGTAATTTTCTATTCACTCTCTTTTTCATTTGTTTGAATCATTTCCATGTTTCATTGGCTTTGTAGCATAGAAAGCATAGGATATATGATCCACTGATCAGTTTCCGGTTTGGTTTAGCGTTTTGGAGTGACTAGATTTGGAGGTATCATCTAAGTTTTCTACGAACACCAAGAATCTAGCTGCTGCACACTAGATGCGAAATTGTTGCTATGATTTTGATGTCTATTAATTAATTAGTCTTAATTTAATAATAAAGCATTTTTTCTAATTGATTGACCTTTTTGGCTTGCGAGCCTAATCCCATCAGATTAGGCTTGCGAGAAAGAGAATCACCGGCCAAAAGAAAAGAGAGAATCACTAGAACATGATCGTCGGATGAGATTCGGATCATGGGTCCCATGTTAGCATTTGTAGGACCCAATGCACAGTCCAATGTCAGAGTCTAGTCTGTGTCATTTACATGGGACCCACTTGGATTTTTGGAGTTGGATTATCATGCGAAAAACATGGGATTTTATTGAATAAAAAACGGGGGGTTAGCCAAAAGGCTTGCTTGAGTGGACAAAATTTACATAAATTTCAAAGTAAAATTTGTGAATTTAAAAAAACAATTTATAAAAAGTTTAAAATTTTTACAGAAAAAATATAGTAAAATATATTAAAATTTTTGTATACTTATTATATATGATGAAAATATTTAAATCTATCCATTTTGATATTTAATTTTAATTTAATTATTTTTAATAAAAAAATACGAATTTTATTGAAAAAAATCTTTATTTAAACTTCCACACGTAAGAGTTTGGAAAGAATATGATATTTGGCTTGGAAGAATTAGATTTGGCGTTCGTTGTTAGCATTTTTTTTATTAGCAGTTTAATGTAAATCTTAGACTTAGGCTTGCTACATGTGCTGACCTAAAAGGAAATAGTTTTCTCTCAAATTTTTATGTTAAAAAAAAAAAAAGAAAAGGAAAATCATGGGATTTTATGGTCAAAATTGGCAAAATGTGCAGGATCAAAATCAGCGAGGGCTAAGCCACTCCATTGGACCTCGTGCTTAAAAATAGCAGAGGACGTGGCACAAGGCCTCTCTTACATTCACCAAGCATGGAGGCTTGTCCATGGCAATCTCAAGTCCTCAAACGTCCTTCTTGGCCATGACTTCGAGGCCTGCATTTCCGACTACTGCCTGGCAGCTCTAGTTACTTCCTCACCCGAAGAAGACCCCGATTCCATCGCACGTAAACCTCCGGAAATTCGCAATTCAAATCACCAGGCAACGTCAAAATCCGATGTTTTTGCATTTGGGGTTTTGTTGTTAGAGCTCCTGACAGGAAAACCTCCTTCCCAGCACCCGTTTTTGGCTCTGGAAGAGATGATGCTTTGGCTTAAGTCTAGTAGGGAAGACGATGGAGGGGACGATGAGAGGCTAGGGATGCTTCTTGAAGTGGCCATTGCTTGTAGTTTGACCTCTCCTGAACAAAGGCCAACGATGTGGCAAGCACTAAAGATGTTACAGGAGATTAAAAAAGAAGCTGTATTCAAGGAGGATGGTGAATTGGACCCACATTCTGGGATGTCTTAAGCTTACGTAATTTATGGTGTTTCTATTTGATTGTAGGACAATAATTTGAGTAATATGATACGCATATGGAGAAAAAAAAATATTTTATACTGCATGATATAACAATTGCCATTGCCGCACTTTGCGACCTTTTGCTTGTCTTTTCTGACATTATTTATGTTGTCTCTCGTATTCTTGGCCCCCGCATGGATTCTTTCTTGTGCCTGTATATCCACGTTTCTTCTCTGCCAATATAAAGAACTTTATCACCATCGTTTATGCCGGTCGCAGGTGATGTTAATGGCTGATGATTGGTCATCATCGTAAAAAATTTCAATTAAATAGAACTAGTTCACCACTCTATAGTATTTCACTGCCTCAGCCAATTTGTTTTCATGCTTGGCTGCCTTATGGTGCCCATTCCCAAGCTTAATAAAACTCCATTTGGCCCCTCTTTCCAATGAAGCAATATAAACATTACATAAGATCATGATCATCCAATTTAGGTGCAATAGTTAATTTCAAACGGTCCAAATAATGAAACTATAAATTATAAGTAATTATTCAAATTTAACCATAATTTTATGAATACAAGAAAATAGAGATTTGCCCAATAATCCATGGTTTCTTTTTTCTTCCAATGACCAAATCAGGCCTAGGACTGAGCCCGGAAGTTATTCAAAACCACAATGGAATGGGCCCAATAGAAGAAACCCAAACGCTGACTTAAAAGCGCAATCCTAAGTCCACGTATCATGTTTTGTGGGGGAAGAAGACCAAGAAAAGAAGAAACGAAAGTGTCACCTCAGACTCTGCAAGAATCCTCTTTTCAATTAAACAAGAAGCAAGAGAATAAAGCCGAATCTCCCATTAGTACGGAAAACCGGAGGTCCAGATGCCATGGAACGTATGAGCGCCGACATGATGGAGACGGAGGCCACCGCTGCCACCGCATCGGCCCCCCATCTGCAAGGACAAAATGACGTTGGGAAAGAGCTGCTTTTTATGGCTCGTAACCTTATTGATCAAGGCAAGCCCTCTGAGGCTCTGCAAGCGGTAATCATCATTAAAACTTTTTCCTTTTCCCATCTTCTTTTCTTCTTCTTGAATGGTTAATAGAAATTTATTTTGGGTTATTAATGTTTAGCGAGTTTCATCAGTGTTCGTTAAACAACAAGCTGTTTCTTTAGCTTCTTGGAACGTTATAGTCTCAAATTTGTTGGCTTTTAATTGCTTCGAATATTGAAATTCCTCGGGGGCAAGAGGTTGTCACTGTACTGCAATTTTGCTTGTTACTATTCGTCTGAGAAGTTTTTATTTATTATTGAACAATGGGGTTGAAAATCTTGTTCTTTCAACCTTTCTCTTGTCAATTGTGGACTTGACAGTCTTCTTGCTTTTATATGATTTAGTTCTGATGCCGGTGATTAATTGAACTTTCATTACTGTTACTCTTTGAAACTTTCAACTATTTGGATACTAATCAATTTGGATCTCTCCTCATTTTGAATAACAATTTTGCATTATCCCTTTTCAAATGTATTAGCATTAATACCCTATTATATTTCATCAACTTGAGTTGCTATTGTTAATTAAATATTGTTCCCACCACTTCTCACTGCAGGCTTCCGAAGACTGCATTGGTGGTAAATACCTGGCATCTGAATTGGCCATGTTGGATCAAACTAAAATATAACTTCTTTGTTCATTGGGTGTTTGGGTGTTTGACTGTTTGTAGACTGACACAAGGAGGATGAAAGAAGCCTTGCCCTTGTTAGGCAGCCCGTAATAGTATATACAAAGAATACTAGTTTAACTTGGGTCAACTAGACTAATGATGTTTCAGTATTTAATTTTCTTCTTTAGCCACAAGGATTAAATAACACTTCTTTTTTAGGGCTATGTCTTTTCAAGATTTCACATGCATTAAAGTATCCCTCAGTCATATTATGGTTTGAATCAGTTCTTCCTGTCTGAATACAGGGCAAAGAATTTAAGTCTGGCATATCTTTTTGTTATGTCTTCGTTTGAGGTATAACTCTTTTGAACTGGGGAAACAATGACAGGAAGGACATCAAAATTCGCCTTAATTTAGACATGCGGTCATGCAACCCGGCCCTCTTGTTTCTCCTTTTAATTTCTGCTTTTCTGTGATGGAACAGGTGGTGATGGCTACGAGAACTAGAGGTGGTGATGAAGCTGTATTTCAGTCGTTGCGCCGTGCTCGTGAAGTTTACAGAACCAGAATGCTAGAAAACACTGCTGTTGATCAGCTGGCTTCTTTGTTTGCCGAATGTGCAATAGCTGAAGCTGAGCCTTCAAAACCTGAAGCATTACCATGCAACCCTAACGGTCCGTCAGTTGCATCATATGTTCATGAGACGTCTATACTTGCCGAAACAGGCAGAACGCAAATTGTATTGGACGCATTCTCTGATGGAAGCAGCTTTATCTGTTTACAGTGTGGGGGTCTAGTTAGTAATCATCGTAAAGAAGAGCACTATGCATACTGGTGTGGCAATATGTGATGTGCTGGTACATGGAATGTGTAGTTGCTCACTTTATAGACTTCTCCCTGTGGATGATCGATCATGAGACTCATAGTTCTTATATCATTCTCTATCTGCATTGTTAATAAGGGCACCACTGCTCTCAGTAGCAAGCCAATTCTTAATGTCTGATATATAGGGTTTAAAGTCATACATCCATCAAAATTGAATTTCCATATGCTTCAGCTTTTGGTATCTCAAATTAGACTAGCTTATTTTTTACTCGAACCAGTATCCAGGGAGAGAAAAAGCTAAAGAATTTTCCTTGTGTAACAACTGAAAATGCTGCACATTTCAATCTCTCAACAAAATTAATAACAAGCTTACACACGTTTAAACATATGAAGCAAGAAATTACAAATTGGGTAAAAAATGAAAAACTAAAAAAGAGAAATACTTTTAGATTGCACCTTTCATACAATTTTCTGTAACTTGGGAACAATTTCTTCCCTCAAAAGTGCGTTATTGATGGAAAATACACCAAAACCATAGACAGGTCCTGCGAGATTCGATATACTCTTGCCAAAGCATCATCAATGACACCATCTCATGCTAATGTCTTTAACGTATTTGGCATGCCATTGGCAGCATCAACACTTCTTTACAAGATGCTCCGAATGCAGTAATCACAGAAAAAAAAATTGAAGATTACTAATCAATAGTTTTGATATTTTCAAAATCAACTAGACCAACACGGCATATGCAGATTCCAACAGCTAGTTCCAGCACACTGCATCAACTAAGAAAATTATAAGGTTCATTGATGTGTGGCAAACAGGGTTTTGCTAATTCAATTCCGATAAGTCAGAAAAAAATGGTTCAACCAAGCAGATTATGATTCTCATAAGCTATTTACTTCCTCTAGGACATTTTGTGTTAGACTAGGCTACCCTGTGGACAAGCAGTCAATTTTGAGTTCATGTACTTAGCAGTTCATCAATTTTCTTCGGTAATTGTTCTTTGAAGTACAGTCAAAACTCATTTTTCCAAGTCAAGAGATTTGGAAATCAGAAATGCAGCCATATTTTTAGCTGACAATAAATAACGTCCTCAACAGCTGAGAAATCAAGCTTATTAAAAGAAATTGTAGTAAGGGCGTCCAATAGCACATGATTAGAGGTAATGTCAACATAAAATACAAAAGCAGAAAAAATACCTGCATTCTTTTCTAGGCTCCTCCCTGCACCTTGGGCTAGGAACATACATATAATCAATGATTAATATGGCCAACATAATCTGGTGACCATCGAATATCAGACTCTATGTGGAAGAGCTTGTGAACGAGGCCTTGCCCTCATTATTGTTTCATCACTGTGTCTTATCCATTCTGAAAGTCTCCATGGCTTCTGCCATTTCCATTTGAATTGTACGAGCCATTGGTGATGGCTTCTTTTCCACCTCCACAGTTTTCCATTGCCAACGTGTCCTATAGCTACTAACTTTTTTATTGGTAACTGCCCAAGCGGTACCATCTGCACGAACAGCAAATCCAACATTTCTTACCAAGCATGAAAGCAGACTGCAATGCTATGATTAAAGTTGGAGAATGAAGTTACCTTTCGTGTTTGATCTATGAATGCTGCTGACACTCTGGCTGGACCATTAACAATACCTGGGCTATATTTCAGCTGTTTCTGTGCTGGCACAGTCATTGGGGATAATGAACCATTCATGTCATCAGCAACGTGTTTCAATAACTTTGGTGAGTTCCCCTGCGCATTGACACTTTTGTCAAAAAGCACTGCTAGGAGTAGAAATGATGTTGATATAGACAATTAACTTGAAGGCCAAAAACCTTATGACAGCAGTGAGACACTAGATGATCCTGTACAAATGACCCCAAAATTCTATTTATCTTGCTGCAAAAGAAAATCCTACTTAGTTGGAATTCTTTTCTAGAGATTCCTCGACGCAATACAGGTTGCAGCACTTGCTATTCAGCTGAACAGAGGCTTGGGATTTTTTGAGGGATAAGCAATGTGAATTCAATTGTCACCCAAGATAAGTAGTATCCCCACTATGAAGAGGACATTCGTAGAGGGAAGTTTGCCATTCAAGAAACAGTAAGAGATTCTCTATGCTGCTGTTATAAGGGACTTTGGTTGAAAAGAAAAAGGGGTTTCACATTCTGTAGTCTATACCAAATGTGGTTTTGATCAGGTTGCATTTTTGAGAAAAAAATTATTTTCTCATAAAATTTAGAATTTGGTGTTTATTCAAAGTATCTTATCAGCGCATTGTTCTTTTGAGCTGTTAAAGATCTTCAAAAAAGCAATTCAAGATTAGTAGTTGTAAGCATATAATTCTACCACATGCTTAGGAGGTAAAAGTCATTTGACCAAAGCAATCTTATGGAACCTACTTTGGATGTTATATATGTACCAAAGTTCAACTTCATCTGTATGTTGATGTGAAAACAGCTTTATAATCTTTAGTTGATCAGTTCTTTCCCTTGTATAAAACCTGAATAAAGTTTACGTAAAACTAACCGTAGCTGATGTAGCCAATGCAATGGCCATAGCTTGCTCTCTTAATTTTAGCTCATTCTCAACTTCTTTCCTTTGTAGCTCGCTCTGCCGCAACAGACCTACAAGTTCTTTAAGTTGTTCTTTCATTTCCTTGATTTCCTTGTCTTTTTCCCATAATTGGCACCTGTTCATTACATATAAGCACCGCTTAAAGACTCTTTTGAACCATAGTTTATTTGTTCTCTCTTTTTTTTTTAATTGTCAAACTCCAGGACCAGGCTCTTATATTTGACATAGTTTCATGTACATGGCCATATATCACTAGGGGTGAGAAAGCACCTTGTCTCTCCAAGAGAATTGAACATATATTGAAGCAAGTTCTTTGCATCTGCCATGGAGCGCAACTGATTCCAACGTCCACGGTTAGTGAAGGCTCGCTCCCTCTCTTCTGCCTCTGAAAGTTGAGAAGCCATTGATAGAAGTGAATTAGATGATATGCTGAGCATATTCTCAAGGGAAGATATTCTAGCCACTCGTGCACTTGGTGACATAGAGGATGCCCTGTACAGCAGTAAAATACATCAAGGAATGTTAGGAGAGGGTGCAGCACTTCTGCAGGGAGAAAGTATCATATCTTCAGCTGCATTTAACTAATCTCCTCAAACTCATGTTTGTTCTAACCATGGATGACCCACGAGTGTAGGAGAGGAAAAGGCTATAAACATGTTGTATGCAAATGTTGGCTATATGCTAAACTTGCTCTATGCAATCTTCTTTACTGATACCAGACCATAGAACCCATATGATGGAAGGCAAGAGAAGAAAATTGCCAGTAATAAAGTAAAACGCTTTTGGACAGTTGATACCTGGAAAATCCATTCTTTCCTCTTGGAAGGCTCAGCCCCTTTGAAGCAAGCTCATCTACTTGCTTTAAGACAGCCAAATCTTCAGCCAGTGCAGCCCTCCTGGAGATTGAAAATAATAAGTGAAAGTGATATAAGAATAGTTTATATATCCCACATCAGTTTTGTTATATAAATAAGATTTTGTTACATACACTTGGCTTTGCCTCACATATTCAAAGCGAACTTCATGCACATTCACCATGACTTCTAACTCATGATCTAGCCATCGTTGTAATGCTTTCTCATTGGTCTACAGAATGAACTTAAGTTAATTGGTTTCAAACATGTGGATATTTAAATTCTCCCCCCCCCCCCCCCAAAACCAAAAAAAAAAACAGATGAGAAGCAGAGATCATTACCTGCCCATTTGTTCCATTCCCGTTGGCAATAGCTGGAAGATACCAAATCATTAGAAATTTGAACACATAAGTCATAAATATGAATACCTTATGTTTCCATCAATAAGAAACTAGACTGTCTAGCATAAGGCATTCCAAATATAACCTAGAAGCTACTCTATAAAGTTGAATTGTCAATGCCTCTGTGAAGAGAATTAATTTATCCAAGACATGGACTGTCCAGGACAGCAACCTTAAAAAGAAAAAGTGTACCTGAGTTATCACGGGCAGAAGATTTTCGAGCTTCCAGCAACTCTTTTAGCCTCTTAGTGGCCATGGTGGCCTCTTCTGTTTTTCTTTGGAGAACCTGAAAGCAAGAATAGCTGCAAATTATTTCTCTACAAATAAATCAGTGGTGGGTACTCACCTCCTTCATAAGAAATAATAATATGCTAACCATTTTCTGGCGTTGATTTAAAGCTTGCAGCTTATGTCTTTCATACTCATTTCTCCTGCCCTCTTTCCGTAACTGATTGTGCATGCAGATTACTAACCCAGTTAAGTACATAATACAAACAATAGATGCAAATACAAGTGACGAATCCAATATATAATTCCTGCAGTAAGTGACTATCTTTGTTCAAATGTAATATTACAATTAAAAGTGTGTAATTGTTAATAATCTGATATGTTATTATAAATTGCTTAAGTTGATAGAAAGAAAAGGAGCAAGGCACCTGCAACAGTTCCTTTTCTCGAGAGGCTTTCCATTGCCGGAATTGTTCTGCCTCTTGTTTTATCCTATGTTGCAACTGAACCTACAACCACAGAATAGGCAAGGGAAGAAAAGAAAAAGAGGGCAGGGAGAATTGAGGTGGGAAGGTTTAGCACAGCATACAATATAATAAATGATATGAAAAATACCAAAAACAATGAAAGATATAAGGACCAAGATAAGATTTTAACCTTTTGTGCCTTTATGAATTGAATTTCATCTTGCAGTCGTTTTGCTGCTTCATCACTCTTCTGTTTCTGCTTTAAAAGTTGAACCTGGCTCTCTTGTTTTTTCTTAAGATCCAGAATCTGGTGCAAATAAGTTTTTAGATTTAACAGAAATCATCATCAGCCCTTTTTCTTCAATCAATAATCAATGAAATTTCAGCTAAAACTTGTTATCACCTGTGCTTCAAGGGATTTTAGTTTCTGAGCATGGATGCCTTGCACTTTTTGTGTTTGTCCATCAGAACCAGCAGAAAGATTTTCAATTTCAGCCAATAAGCGATCCCTCTCTTTCTGCAGTGAGGAAATGGGTTAACAAATGTTAGCAGGCACAATTTTCCTTCAAGTAAAGCTGTGAGAATTAAAACAGTGTTTTTAAACCTGCACAGCTCTTTTCTGGTCCTCTAATTCCTGAATTTTCTTCCCAAAATGCTGCTTGAGTGCAACTGTGTCTCCTCCAAAAAGTTTCATCTCGGACTGCTCAGACATAAAAGATGAGCATAAACATAAAATAGAAGAATTAGCTAGTGTTGGAAAAGTTGCCAACCGTGCTAATCATAGAAGATGCAACAGACATAAAAATACACCTCTTTTTCCTCTAAATGTCTATTCAACTCATGCAACTCTTTGTCCATAGTATTTTGTATCAGTGTGTGCTCCCACTCTTTAGCTGCTTCCTCATCAATTTCTCTGGAATCGCCTGCTAAAATGGCCATTATATTCCAGTTGAGAAAAATATAAATTGGAGAGAGCGTGGAATAATTTAATAGACCAGTTGAGCTGGTATTACTAATAAAGAAGAATGCTATACATCTTGCATAAATCAGGTAAGCCTGTACCTATCATGGTTTCACCCATTTGATAGTCAGATGACTCTATACTGTGCAAGTTCCTTTCCAGCCCATCACTTTTGACAGAGCAAGGACTGCCATCCTGAAATAGGAAGTTTTGCATTCATATACATTTGAAACCACAATATACATGATAGGGGATTCCTTAACATACTTGAGCATTTGTTTCACGTTGCTCTACAATAGTGCATCTGCTCCGGTAGTCGTGAAGTTCTTGGCAAAGATCCTCATTAGCAGCTTCAAGCCAGGCAATTCTTTCCTTGAGAACCTACAAAATAAGTCCCTTTTGAAAAACTTGTGGGACTAATCCTATATAAGTTATTTCCAAGAAAAATTTCAGGACTAAATGAATTATTTAAACAAAGCAACCCAGTCCTTGAGACATATGTAACAAGTTACTAACTTAGGATCCTACTATAATTTGTGCTCAGGAAAAGATTAAAAATTGATTATTAAGTTTATATAAGTAATTAGGAGTACCATGATACCTGCACTTCATCAGAACCGCCACGGGCACAAAGTTCTGCTTGCAAATACTCTAATTGTTGACGCATCTTTAGCATCTCATTGGAGATAGGATCTCGATTAACCTATTTAAAAGTCAAAACAAGAAGGAAAATTCCGTATAGAAACTACCTTGAATCTCACATATCTGACTAGGCAAACGGGGAATAGAAAGATGAAATTTTTGAAGTAAAATTATTCTCTTGAACTTACAACAGGCTTGTTTTGGATATTGCGAGCACGATTTGCATATTTTAAAGTATTAAGGGTTTCCTCAGCATTAATGTCAGCAGGACTAATGCAGGCTGCTCAGAAAGAAGTTAGATAAGGATAATGAGTAAAAAATTCAAAATGCCAATTAAAGTGCAAAAGTGGGAAGGAACTAGGTATCAAATTATAAACAAGGAAACAACTGAGCAGGTCAAATAATAAGAAAAAATGGCAGTACCTATCATGACAGTTCTGCTGTTGCCACCAAGTGAATCCTGCCCAAAGAAATTAATGTTTTTATCACTTAATAAAGAACAAAATCAGAGAAAATAAAGATATTGAAAATTAAAAAAGGATGAAATATAATTTCTTAAACCATGTATAATCTTCCGAATAGATTCCATCACCCTCTTCATTCATCATGGCCAATGTATTTGCCACACATGTAATAAGTTAAACCCTGACAAAACTAAGATCAAACAACTAAATGCAGGAACTGTCCTTCGTCAATTGAGGAGATAATTTTGTATCAGTACCTAGCCTTAGTTCAGCTTTGAGATGAAAAAGAGGCAAGGAGATATACAATGTTTTAAGGGCTGAGTAATAGTATATCTCTTCTCTTGGTTCGAATATTTTCTAAAATGCTGAATGTATCTCAGTTTTCCAAGCACAGTCAAGCTTTAGGCGGATGTAAGAATTGATTTTTATGCCTAAAAAGACAATTCCAACAAAATAAACAGTTCTATTTCACATTCTTACCACTTTTCCATAAAATTTTACAGGAAAAATAAGGTCTGGCAACATGAGACATACAAACCTCTTAAACTAGTCATACCTGCAAAAACCGAGTAAGTTTACTATCTCGATATGGAACGTGAACACCTTCTTTGCGCTTTTTTTCATCACCAAGTGCACTGATGACATTACCAAGTGCAAGCAGGCCCTTGTTGATATGAACTCCTGTTTAGACAATGTAGATGGCAATTATTATGGTTGGATGGAGAAGAATACTTTCATGACACAAAGAAGAGAATAAGCAGTGCCACCAACCTTCTTTAAAACGCATACCATCAGAACCTGTTCTTTTTGCTCGCTCCGATCCAGCAAGATCTACCAAATGTAACTTGGCACAAAGATATTCTTCACTCATAATGTCATTAGGACTTCCATCTCCAGAAATAGGAAGGAGTTTACGCATTTGCTCTAAGGTGATGGTGAAGATTGCATGTGACCGACTATACAACCACATAAATATATTATCAAAATTTTGTATTTAGAAAAGCATTTAAAACCAAGAAAAAGGTAAAACTAAAACAAGTCAAGAAAGCATTGTTGGGTGTACATGACTGGGAATATATCAAAAGCAACAGAAGCTCTAGAAATCCAAAACCTTGTAACATTTTCAGATTTTTTTATTTCCTTTAAAAAAATATTAACTAGAAACATTAAACAAAGAACAGAAAAATCAATTTAGAATGAGCTTTCTTTAAAATTATATATAAATTTAGAAATTTTCATGGGAAAACTTCCAGTAGCACCGGCGACATTACCATCATTGCAATATATGACGATTTTCCATATTTTGCTATTTCCCATCTGGGGCTCATCTATAGCCAAAGATTGCCCAGTTTTCCTCGTAAACCAAGTCAAAAGGCATTACCTTAGCACTGCAGTGCATCGATAGTTTTCAGGTTTAACAAATGATGATCATAGACAGATTCTGTTTTTCCATATTTAAAGAACCAAGAACCACCAGATAACATCTGCTCCACAGATTTGAAGAAATGAAAACAAATAAATGCTAAAGAATATTAATTTAACAAGAATAGAACATGAATTAACCTTGACTGGTTATTCATGTTTGTACTCCCTGTTGCCCTACTCAATGAACCCTGTTCTAGGCAAGCAGCCATTTCTTTTAATGTACTGACACTAACTTCAGTAGATCCTGCCAGTGTAATAACACCATTTGATGATTCACGAATCTGTATTGGTGGTTTTCCAGGGACGTTTACTTTCCCCATATTCATGCTTGCAGTATCAGATTTGTTTATAGAAGTAGGATCCAGCAAATCTTGTACTTCTTCTTTCAGAATCTTTCAAATCAAAATTAGATTAAATTACATATGTTAGAACCATAAATTATGAAGAGACACTCAAACCAGGAGTGATATGTATATACATGCAAAAGAGAATTCAGGATAAATAAACCAGAAGGTATATTCATAAAAGATATTCGATCAGAGAATTAGAATTATTTGGCAATCATTTTACTGTTTTCCGAAATGCTTGAGTAATTTAACAAAAACCAAAATGAAGAAACCTAAAGACCAGACTAAAGGAAAAGCTTGTAGGACAACAGGTCCAACAGGGGATGCATTCACAAAAATAAGTTTGCAGAACAGACAGACCAACCTAGTACATTGCTAATAGCATAATTGGAAATTGAATAACAAAAAGAAATGCTTGTTTCTTTAACAAACCTCAATGAAGGAAACGTGCAATTGAAATTCAATTTGATATTTTAGACTTTCAATCTTGCTGAATAAAGCATTCATTACTTCAGGAATGATTCCTGTTTGGCAACAATCTTTTAAGCCTGTGCCCATGGTATACGTTTTACCTGATCCAGTCTGCAAATTTTTTGGAAATTCAATCACAAGTGAACATAATATTTAGCAGTGACTTGTGGGAGCGTCAGCTGTACCTGACCATAAGCAAGAACGGTAGCATTATATCCCTGGAATAAGCCATCAACAAGGGGAACAATGCATTCCTCAAACATGGAAGAAGAGGGAGAACCAGTGCTCCCATAGACATGATCAAATGTAAAGGAATGTGTCCCAATTTGTACCTGCAGCATAGTCAAAACCAACATGTAACTTCCTAACCAAAAAAAATTCTAAATAACTATTTAAAACAAGGAAAAGAAAAAGTTCCATTGAGGTTGAGCAAAGACATTAGAATATACAAAAATTCTGGCCTGGTCTTAATCCAAGAAATCAACAAAGGAATTCAACATTTTCATATCTGATTGAAACAGGCTATCCCAGGTCTTACCAACCAAAAAAAAAAATTTTAATGTGCTTTCTCCTTCCTTTAAAATGAATTACTTCGCCTAAACAAAAGTTTAAGAGCAACTAATATATAATATCAGCTAATTCAACCTAAAAATTAATGTAAAGAACCATATTTTAAAGAATTCAAAACGCGAAAATGGAAATAACAATCAACAGAACTATCATCAAAACTAACTGAATTCAGCTTAATTCTGCATAATTTTAAGTTCAACGGTAAAAGAATCCAATTCACAACCATCCCCATTATAGAAAAAGTAAGTGATGACAAAAATTCTGATCCAACATCAGACAGTGAATTCTCATTGATCAACCATTCAAGCATCCAAAGATCCAGATCTTCATATACTTAAAATTAACCCGCAACTCCATACTCAGAAAACACTGCACTCCCAAGAAATCAACCATTGAACAAGTACTTAACAGTGAACACGGTCATTCTCTGAACTCACAGTACCTGAGGCTTTCCTGGGATGACAGTAACGCAATCTTTACAACCTTGAAGTTTCTCATCACCAATAAGCGGTCTTACATGAACCGCAACATTAACACAACAAGCCTCGGAAGCTGCAACAGCTTCCATAGGAAGCAGCTAAAGAAAGAAAAAACAATTTCCCAACACAAAGAGAGAGAAAGAAAGAAAGGAGAAAACCCAAAAAAGAGAAAGAGAAATAATGAATTTTTTGGTAAGTTTGTTGTCGTTTATGTTAGAGAGTTAAAAGACCAAATTTTTATTTTCTTTTTTCCTTATAAAAACCGTTCTCATTGTCTGAAACACAGTAGGACAAAGAAAGTGATGCAACAACGAACAAAGAAAACAAATTGAGTTCCAGACAATGGGTTGCTATTGTTTCCTGCTGTTATTGCTGTTTGGAAGTGTAAGAAACAGAATGTTAGAAAGAGAGAGAAAAAATGTATGAGGAAGGGCAGTTGAGGAATTAGAGGCTGCGGGGTGGCATAGCATTATACAGGAAGTTAACTGCAGTGACAACAACAACTATCATAATGCTTAGCCTTCAATACAAAATCGTCATGTGAACAGAAGGAAAGAAATAAGCTTTCATAACACTCTTTCCTTTGTACCCTTTCCTTACACCAACAACTCATTTCCTCTGTTTCTCACCTTCTCCATGGAGTTGTGTTTTTGACCCCTCACTTCCACGGTTTTGTCCCTGTTTTTACAGTTCTACCCTTTTCAGCTCCACTTTTTTTTTTTTAATCTTAATTTAACTCCCAAAAGAACCCAAACAAAAAGAAAAGAAAAGATGATAGGCAAGTGCTGCTAAAACCACGTATTATGATGTTGAAGATTTCCTAACTGTGCCCAGAATATGGTAGAAAAAGGGTTGCCCAACACATAAGCCACGTGATTTGGAATCATGTACCATTGCTGGAAAAAAAACTTAGGATCATACGCTAACAAATTCATGTACTTTTTTTTTTTTATGAAATACAATTCATTTACTTTTTTCTTACTATATTTTTGCATATGATTATAAAAATACGGTATAAATGTAGTACTTTTTTTCCTAGTTTTGATATTAAAAGATCACGTTCTAAAATTATTATAGAAATAATGTGTATAGGCCCCAATAGTTTATAAACTGTATCAATGCAAAAGATAGATGAAATCAAACATTCACTTCCTTTATATGTTAATAATGAGTAAAGTAAGTGAAAAAATAAACTTGACCATGAAAAAACAAAAAGCTAGTCCCTTTCAAAGAAGCAAAATAAAAGTTGTTTTTTTTTTTAATATTGGAAGCCAACCCGTGAAGAAGAAAAATGAAAGGAAAATAAGGGGGAGGGAAGGAAGGGCAGGGAAAATGGGAAGTAAGCTGAAAAAAAAAAAAAAAAAAAACCAGCCAGCTGGTAGTCTCCCACGCTCACATGGCCATTTTTTAGTCTGTTTATATTAAACAACCTTTGGCTCACTTGGTCAGACTTCTTTGGTCCCACCTTTTACTGATTCTGTGGCAGATAATTAATGCTTCTCTTTTGGGAGTTTATGTACTAATTGGGGTTGTGAAGGGTTTTGCTTTTGTTCTGTTCTCTTCTCGTTACTCAACTTTTGTTGTTTTGCATTCACATTCATATTCATATTTGGAGCTATTAATGGGTGCGATCAAAGTTCTACTTTATCATTTGTTTGGAATGCTTTTAAGTGAAACAAAAATGGAAGGTTAGGGGGAGTGGGGTTCCTTCAATTTTCTCTTCTTTTTTATTCTAAAGGCAGGTGATTGATGAGTTTGTAAATGAAATAAGCCAGCTAATTTTTGGATGTAAAATAAAGAGTCAAGACCAAGCATGTTCAAATTTGTATTAATTTGACTTTTAGAATGATCTATTCTAGTATGGTGCCACCCCCTCCCCCCAAAAGAAAACAAAAACAAAATGTAGTAATGTTTTAAATTGGTTCATATATTAATATAAGCTTTTATTAGGTATGATTTGTCCCCACTAATTTCTAATAAGTTATGATTCATTCAACTAAATTTATGTTAGATTTACATATGCCTTTTGCATGGTTTCTGAATTCCATATTTGCTTTGAATTCAAAAGATATATATGCTTATAGAAGTGAATTGTTAGCCAATTTGGGTTTCTATCAATCTAACTTTTGACTTAATTAATTAATGACATTATGTATAGCACAAGGAACTTGAAATTAAGAGTCAAACTTGAGTTGTAAAAACCCTTTTTTTTCTTGAATGAGTTGCAAAAACCTTTATTAAACTCTTTAGTCAACAATGGCAGAAGTTTTATTTTTCTTTTGTTGGAAACAAAGATTTTCTTTTATAATATTTCATTAATTTTTTTTGTTTGCAGAGAAATAATAAATTGCATAAACTATAAAAACAAGTTGAATCCAAATTGAAGGGTCTTAAATCAGAATCTTTAACCACAACAAGCAGAAATTGGCGACCAGCTGGCTTTATTCCTGTAACCAATGTTGAAAGCGAAAAAACACAGCCAAAGTCCTCATTCTTTAGTACGCTTTCATTAGTAGGATATCATTGGTAATTGGACGACTTTGGCATGCTCAAGCAGCAGCCCTTTTCGAAGGTATAATTCCAGCTAAATGCTGGAGGGGGTTGTTGCATGGTTTGACAGTAACGTTAGAGTTTAAGGTTCCATTGCAGTTGCGAGGCATGCTTGGCTGCATCTCGATTTCTAGCTAGGCATATATTTTTATGTTAGACTCATTAGGATAAAAAAAGCATTAATTAGGATTGTCTTTTCCCAAAGGGTGTAGTTGAATTTTTTTTTTATGATATATTTTATTAAAACCATGATAATTGATTGTAGAAATTTTGATGAATTAACTTGATATTATTAAAATGCTGTAATTCCAATCTAAAATCGTTTTTCAAACCCCATTTTAACTTACCATTTGAATTAAGCTCAAGAGGGAATCGTACCTATGACGATGTTGAAAAGAAATCTTTAAACACTCATTGTTTTTGAGGACAAGGGGTTTTCTTCAAAATAAAAAAACTCTTACCATCATGCTAAGAAAGAGTTGCCGCAATAGTTTGCCATGTTTTACTGTTTTGTTCTTAGTAAAAACTTGCTTTCATCAAATGCATCAAAAATATTAAAAAAACAAGGCCTTGACAAGGGATTGATAAGATTTTCCCACCATCCCAAGCCGTAGCTGAAAAATCATGTCAACAGTATATATATCTATTCCCTTGGGAATAAACAGAACAAACTAACAAGTGCCCTATCTTGAAGGAGAATATGATGAACACTTCCCACCACTTTCTGGTAATAAAATGATTGACAACGAATAATAATCCTATTTATTTTAGTTAGACTTCCTTTTATATATATATATATATATATATATTTGAAGATGTCATAATCTGAACCTAAGCATTTTTAGCTGGACTTATATTTCGTAGGATTAGGATATAACAAATGACCCCATTTAGCTAACAATTGAGACATTTATCATTATTCAGAAAAGGAAAATTCCAGACCCTTTGCTTTGCTTGCATGCCTTTTATTGATGCGGTAGACTGTAAGTTAAGCAAATTTGTCATCGAACCAGTTCTTTCAGGCACGTGTCGAACACCTTCATTTACAAGGAATGAGAAAGGGAAAGAGGAGAAAAGCAGAAAAAGTTGATGCAAAAACCCTAACCCCAAGTTTCCTTTTCCTCAACCTAACTCACCGTTCACTGGATTTTTTCCAATTCGACCGTTAATTTGGAAGCAGACCAAGCAACTAAAGGAAGCCCCACTTTTTCTTGTCCTTTTCTGGGAGGGGATTATTTTATTATAAGAATGTTGTGACATTGTTAAACAGATCAGTCCATCTTACCAAAAGAAAAAACGTTCCTTTGTCACTGTTATGGATATAGTTTAACATTTTAACTATAAAAGCGGCACTTTGAAAATACACTTTTATTGTAAATACTTTCATGCCACACTACCAGCCAATATGGTTGAAATAGTTTCCATATGCTGTTGTTCTATGTCCGACCAACTGTTTTGGTTTTCTTTACACGTATGTTATGTTGCTATTGGACCTTTACATGTCCTGTCATATCTCACAAGAATACATGTTACAAACATTAATCGGAACATTGGTACATTATCCATTTTAGAAGTATAGACTATCTTATGCCAAATATTATCTGAATCGAACACAAATTTCATGAAATGTACTTAGAAAGATTTTACCTATAGTTTTATACAAAAGAATAAATCTAGGGGAATGCAATTTGCTATGATAAGAGCAAGTTCCTCCTGTAAAAAGGTGAGCAGGCTAGAGAGAAACATCAAACCAAAAGTGTTGTTCCCCATTTTTCAGGTAGAAGGAAATCTCAGACAACCAACGGACATCAACAACAGCCAAAGGACATGAATCTTGCACACGTTTTGTTCTTTGCCTCTATCTACATATAATAATATGACGAATGATTACGCCAACTACATATGAAATGATAGAATCTGTGTACCATTTGGTCCTCATACTTTGGTCTATCCAGTTTCTGCCTTCATTGGCTAGCCAATCTGCTTCAAGTATAGTTGAAGCAACTTCTTGGAATCAGTCAAAGAACAAATCAGCTTTCGGAAATTTAATAAACTGCTTAAAATTATGGAAAGTGGAAAGCCAACAGAGCATTCTCATTAGACCATGAGGGCCATCACATGATTGGAGGAACTCATAATTTTAAACCATAGAAGGTAGCTTTTCGTTTTCTACTAAAATTCAGAAATGACTAGCTGTCTGCATTCTTTAATATTCTCACACCCTCCCAAGTTCCAACCTTCTCCAGCCTCCAGCCCACCCTTTGCTTGTGCTTTCTACCCCATCTCCTTTACATCACTAAAAGGTAATCAGGCCTTTAGGCCTTCCATGGGTTGGTATTGGACTAGAAATTTTAGGCCCATGATAACCGATAGTGACATTTTTATACGGGTCAAGCCCGTCCAGAAACATAACCCGCTAGATGTTTACATAATTAAAAAAAAAAAAAATTCCAAGAAGGATAATCAACGGCGCAAAAGGAAGGAAGGGAAACGTTACATAGAAGGTTCCAAGTCAGCTTTAGAAAAACCAGAAAACGCAATCCAATCTCTGCATCAAACTAAAACGAAAGTAGAGAAAGACAAGACAGAGATCATCGTAAAATTCTTCAAACCTCTTAACTCGTTTGGAAACGTCATGTCAGGTGGAATTGCACGTAGCCTTCTTACAGAGTAACGAAAAGCCTGGCGCAAAAATCAACCCCCATGTACCAACTTCACCTTTTTTTTTTTTTTCTGCTTGTTGGGTTCTGTTTTCTTGTATTTGTTATTTTATTTTACTATATACCAACAAGTTTAAACCTTATTCTATATTTTTCATTTCTTGTTACCAAAAGCACTAAAATGTAGAATAAAGAAGATTCTTTAACTGAAAAAAAAGCATTGGAAAATTAATAATGAGCAGGTAAAAGCTAGAAATAAACCATTGATGAAGTCAATTATCAAACAATTTGACAAGAATTTCGAAAATCAACATGTTTATCCAATTTGATTGGCTTCTTTTTCACCAGGAATTTCTTTCTCGGCCCCAAAAATAGATTTCACGTCTAGGTCCACATCTACCATTTCCATCCTAGAGAAAACAAAGCGATAGCCCTATAAAACTACCATCTTTGGATCTTCAATTGCTCGAAAAAAGCCTAACATAACAGGTCCAATTAATGTTCCATAACTCACTGGTTGATGTTTAGACCTTTGGCTTTGGTTGTCCAAATATCCAAATATCAAAAACAAAAGAGAATGAGGAAAAAGACCAAATCCTACAATTGAAGCAATG